TGGGTCTGTGATATCTGCTTCTGGGTGGGAAGGTATGAAGTTCCATAGTGTAAGGCCGGCGTAGGTGGCGCAGGCGGGAAGCTCGAGATGTGTTGATATCTCAAGGAAAGGCTTTGAGATTGATGGGGGAAGTCTCTGTTGTCTGGGTGTTAGAGATTTCTTCAAACGGAAAGGAAAGGGTGGCATATGCTTACGTCTTTTGGGGTCTCTCCTCCCCAGATATAGCCATGAGCGAGATATCCCATGATAACACATGCTCGTCGCCATTCTGGTTCTGTCTGAAGATGCTCGGTCGTGTAGACGGGCATATTATCAATTTTCACGCGGATTTGGCTTGTTTGGATCAGGTTCGGGAGTTGGCTGGCTATATCCTCCCAGGTCTCGTAATAGGGGTTTGAGAGCCTGGCCAGCGGAGGGCCATCTGAGAGAAAGCCCTGCTTGGCATAACCTTCGAAAAGATCATTGAGAACAGCATCTGTTGATTGCAGCATTGTGGATAGTGGTTGTGGAGGAGCGTGCGTTCGGGAGGGAGAACAACGCCTGGTGTGGTATAAACAAAGACAAAGGGGGAAGAGCGTCTTTTAGATTTATAGTGCAAGAATTGCTTGGTACTATACGGCCTCGTTATTGAAGTATCTTACTACATCGGCTCGCATCGGGCCATTTAGTCAAAACATCTATACAATCCGGAAGATATCCGGATCTATATCCGTGTTCCGCCTCTTCGCGGTTGGATACGATAACCGTAGTTGATCCATAGATAGGCTTAGTTTTAGTTGGTTCAACACTTAAGAACAAATAAAATGTTGGGAATTTAAAGCAGTTCTCTGTTACGCCGAAATACCTAATAGAAAGGAGGTGTTCTTTGGGTTTGAGGGTGCGGTCAAGACTTGAAGAGTTAGGATCAAACATATACACCGGTTGTTAGGCCGCGCGAGATGGCTCTTTCTTTTCGCTTTAGTGCTCACCCATTGCCGCTTTTTGCTTAGTAAATCCGAGAGAGATCACTATACTCTTAGTTGATGATTCATTCTACATGTAAACATAAGTTGCTTGCTCCGAAGAAAACACCTGTAGATCGAGTGGTTCCCTTTTTCAATAAATCGCAGCTGAAGAACATGAAATTTTCATTTTAGTCGATGTTAGCCAATTAGGGAAATTATACCTATCATCTATTTGTGCCCTCGAATCCTCTTTACCCCTCCCTATGGTACTTTCTTGCGTTTATCGCCATCAAATCAATTCTCTCAAAGAGTCTGATACAGAGAAGGACAAAACCAGCTTCACCAATTTGCACTCTTCCATTCTTTCTGTCTGACACTGCGAAGATGCTAGCTTAAGAGATGGGTAGAACTAAATATATAAGATATACGTATTTGGATTCAATCAAAAACTAAAATAAAAATAAAGACCTCGCCTTCTATCTAGGAGTTGCATCTGCCATCACATTGCCTTATTTCCCTTCCGCAGCCGCGGCCGCAGCCTTCGCCTTATCATCAATGGTCTTGGCAATAGCCGGGCGAGCCTTGATACGGTTCAACCAGGAATTAACATGCGGGAAGTTCTTCTCGAGATCCATTTCGTTCGACCAGAAGAGCGCAGCCACCTCGAACCACGGCACAAAAGCAGCATCGACATAGCTGTACTTGCCGCCAACTAGGTACTCCTTGTTCTGGAGCGATCGGTTGAGCACGCCCGAAACACGACGGATCTCGTTAACATAGCGTTCGACCGCACTAGGTACCTTCTCGGGGTGGTAGATCGTAAACCAGGCGGCCTGCCCGAAGTACGGTCCCTGGCCGGACACCTGGTAGTGTAGCCACTGCTTGCTTTCGTAGTACTCCTTCGAGCCGGTGATGAAGCTGATGGTGTGTTGCTTGTCGTATGTGTCCACTAGGTACTCGAGGATGGCGCCAGATTCCCAGATGGTGATTCCGGTGTTTGGATCCTCGAGGGCGGGAACACGACCGTTAGGATTGATAGACTCGTAGGGTTCCTTCTTTAGGTCGCCGATATCGACCATCTTAGGCTCGTAGGGAAGCTTGAGCTCTTCTAGGACCATGAGGACCTTCCAGGGATTAGGCGTGCCGGCATGGCCCCGGAGGGTCCAGAGAGTGAGGGTTTTGAGAGACATGTCGAGTGAATGATTGATTGATTTGGAGAAAGATAGTTCGATACAGAGACAACAATTATCGAGGGTTGGTCTACTTAAATACGCCGGTGTACTCCAACATCAGGACATGAATTATTCAGTTCGGCACTCGAGAAGACCGAACGCTTGGTAAGCTCGATAGTTGATTCTCTCGTCAGCTGGACTTTTCATTCTCTTGCGCTTTTACCTTAGGTATCAACATAAATCAACATAAACCACGGAGACTATACAGCCAACCCTGGAACTCGGGACGTTGATTGGACCTGGTCATCAACACAAACAGCACAAACCAAACAAACATGGGGGGGATTAATAATTGCAGAGCATTCTAAGGTTGGTCTTTCAAACAGCACAAACAGCATAATCTATGACACAAACAAAAGTTACTTGCTGGGCATGACTTGAGTACTGACTGGGCACAGATAAGCGGCGCCACCCTGGGAAATTCGCATTGGCTGCTACCTCAATACATACGTCGCCAATCCAACAAAGAAACTGTTTTGCTACTCCAACATTTTGATTGCTTTTCTTTGCTGGGCTGCATAGTACGCAAACCATCTGCAAATATTCCTGCGTTATGATGCATTCAATGCATTCAATGCATGATGTATATTTTTTATGTTCCCCGTCGAAATCAAATAAATAATAATAGAATGATGTAACGATAGCCATGTGGTCAACCACTAATGAACAGTATGGAGACGGATCGGGGAGGCGGAAGCGGAAGATGATCCGTGTTAGTAGTGTTGCAGTTCCTTTGGACATCCCTGGTCTCCGATTTGGCGCTTGCCTTATAAAAAGCAAATACATTTCCCCAGTTGTGTTAAATATCCTCTTCCCCTCCAAGTTGGTTATAACTCAAATCCTATACCATATTCGACACATTTCATAGCATTTATCACCAACATGACGAGTACCAAAGTGTCCAAGCCGGTATTCCCTGCAGAGGCAGCATCACAAGAGTATGCTGCGTCTCTGGATGCAGCGGACCCTCTGCGTGAATTCCGCGACCAATTTATCATTCCCTCCAAGGCGAATCTCGCCACGAAGAAGCTCGCAAAGCCAGGTGAGAACTAGATCCCTGCGGGGCCTAAATTATAAGTTTGATTGTTGCTAACAAGCTCATGTAGGTCTCTCATCAGAGCCTAGCACGTACTTTTGCGGTAACTCATTGGGCATCCAGCCCAAGGCCGTGTCGAAGTATATGGAAGCTCAGTTGGATACTTGGTCATCTATCGGTGTCTGTGGACACTTCACCGATCTTGAAGACTCACCATTAAAACAATGGCAGCTCCTATCTGAACAGGCGGCTGCTTCCATGTCCCGCATTGTCGGGGCCGCACCTGAAGAGGTCGCAGCCATGGGAACGTTGACAACGAACCTCCACCTTTTGCTTGCAAGCTTCTATAAGCCAACTGAGACCAAGCGGAAGATTCTCATGGATTGGAAGGCATTCCCTAGTGATCATGTGAGTGACAACCTACAATAGAAATGATCCTCCCAGGATCAACAATGTGATCATCCACCACTAACATGTTTATAGTATGCAATTGAATCACACATTGCCTGGCATGGCATAGATTCAAAGGAGAACATGATTCTCATTGGCCCAGATGAGGGACAACACGAAATCTCGACAGAGAAGATCCTGGCCTATATCGACGAGCATGCAGAAACCGCAGCGCTTCTTCTTCTCCCCGGTATCCAATACTACACCGGACAGCTATTTGACATCCCAACAATCACCAAGTACGCCCAATCAAAGAACCTCGTCGTTGGCTGGGATTTGGCACACGCATTTGGAAATGTGGATGTGAAGCTGCACGACTGGAATGTTGATTTCGCGGCTTGGTGCACATACAAGTACGGCAATGCCGGGCCCGGTGCGATGGGTGGTCTTTTCGTGCATGAGAGACATGGTCAGGTCGATTATAGCGCTGGGCCAGATTCTCCTCAGTTCCGTCACCGCTTGACAGGATGGTACGGTGGTGATCTGTCGGTGAGGTTTAAGATGGATAACAGTTAGTTTCTTCCTATTCCTGTGGTGCGAGGCATGTTCTAGCATATACTAATCACCAGCAGAGTTCAAACCTATCCCCGGAGCCGGAGGCTTCCAGGTCTCTAACCCCTCCGTTATTGATCTGACCTGTCTTTGTGCGGCAATGTCCGTCTTCGATCAGACCTCCATGGCCGATATACGCCAAAAGTCATTGAAGCTGACGGCGTATCTGGAGTTCCTGCTTCTGAAGGATACCGACGAGGAGACTCGCTTGTTCGATATTATCACTCCCTCAGACCCTAATGCTCGAGGCGCTCAACTGAGTGTCTTGCTCAAGCCTGGCTTGCTGCACAAGGTATCCGAACGACTGCAGAATGAGGGTATCATTTGTGACAAGCGGGAGCCGGGCGTTGTTCGTGTGGCGCCAGTGCCATTGTACAACACTTTCTCTGAGGTGTTCAACTTCGTCAAGGAATTCAAGGGCTCCTTGGCCTCGTCGTAGTTGATGAATAATATTATGAAAATAAAATTAGTTCGCTGTTTATGAGAGCCTGTGACGCAATCCTTTTCTTCTTGGTGGTGTTCTCAGTAGTCTTGTTGGATGTCTTTTGATATTTCTTCTTCGATATCTTCTCACTGTTCTCAAGACTTATAGCTAGACCGCAGAAAAAAGGCTTAAATGTATAGAAGACTTTTCTATGTATAACCTCAGACAAATGTGGATCAAACGTTGAGTAAAATAATGCAATGCACCATGAACAATATGCCGTGGAATTTTGTAGCTATTCAACCTCAGGATTAAAGAATAGATAAAGATACACAAGAGTTGAAGCCTGCTGTTGCAAGCCCTTAGAAATTCCCAACACTTTCCCAGTTATCACCACTGCGTAGAAACTCCTGCCCCTGAGAAAAGAAATTGGCAGCAAGAATAGAGAACTCATCATTGGACATTGTCAAATGCTGGGGGGAGACCAAAGATGTTGTTGGGTAGTCCTGACCAGGAAAGGGGGCGTTGGCACCGAATGATTGGGACCGAGGATTTGGTGTATCTTGTTCCTGGACACTCAGCCGGAACGGCGGAGGCAAAGGCGACGTTTGAGATACTTCTGCGCCCGCAGAAGAAGAACCGGCATAAAGTGACTCCCCGAATAGACGGCGAGCAGAGTCTGTATCGCTGTTGGATGAGTATTCGAGAATTTCCCAGAATCGGGATAGGTCGATTAGAAGGCTTTGGTTTTGCGCGCCTGGGTCTGATTGGTAGGTTGCCGAGACTGCGTCTTCTAGTCGCTGTAATCTGTGTGCCTGTTGATATGAATTGAGGTGTTAGATTGTTATTTTAACTAAAAGGAGATCCGAGAGAGCGGAATTTCATACCAATTGCGCCATGTGTGGCCACCTTTCTCCCATTGTTTGCACGAACTTGACACATTTGGCAAATCTTTCACGCTTATGTTCTCTGATAGTCAAATCATCTGTGAAACTGAGTTGCAGCTCTATTGTAGCGACGACGGCGGCGCTGTAGCCTAGTAACGGATCTGATACTTGAAACGACTTCTCTTCAAAGCAGTTTATGAAGTGAATGATCCAGGTTGTGTGCGAGGAGATCAAGTCCGAGGTGTGCTGTAAGAAGATCTCTGGGATAGTACTCCGGAAATTCCGAAGACTGAGGGAGAGAAGCAGTGGATGATTGAGTAGACAAAGGCTGGTATGATATATGAATTGATTCAGAAACCACGGGCCCCAATATTCACGATGCATTTGTAATTCCTCAAGAGAGCGTTCACCGAGGTTGGCTGGCTTGAACCGATGAAGATACGGCATGCGAGTCTCGAGGTCCATTTGCAAAGCGAGAATTTTCGAGTATTCGGAATGAGGAGACCATGGTGGGACATTGCTTGGGCGTCCGTGAAGTCGCACGTATCGTGCTGTCCTTGCAAATACTTCGCTCAGCACTACCACATATGCAATGATTCCTTCATCTTGCATGTCACTTCGCCGGATTTCGCCGGTAGATGGCCCCGGAGAGAGGAAGCGTGGAGGTCGTGCCGGGCTTTTGGGATATGGAGGGCCCCCGGCTTGTGGTATGTCCGGGATTGGGAAGTCACCGCCATGTAGTCTTTTGAGAAGACATATACTCCAGAAGCAACGTCTACGTTCTTCGCGGACTATGGTACTGGTTGGTGAACGGGGCTCTTGTCCGAGATTGGCACACTGAGCAAGGTTCATTGCCAAGCTGCTGTGAATGCTGGAACGATGTGTATTACCGTCTGGTAGATACTATTAGCTCAGGTTTAAATGTTGGAAATGTTGAGCTCGTACTCGTGAAGTCGACCAAGCTCAGAATACATAGACATTGAAGCGTCGAAAGCTCGACTGGCCCTTCTGAGACTCTTTTCATAACGAGGCCTCGAGCAACCTCAGCATAGCTATTTATCAGGTTGGTGGAATCGGCCCTGTTGCGGTAAGTGTATGAAAAGCGAAAGGCAAGTGCCAATATAGCAAAAAGAAGCTCTGTGTCGCGTGTCTGCAGAGTGGAAAGAAAGCTATCCCTGTAGAAAAGAGGTAAAGGCTGAGAGTCACAGTATAGCAAATATAGCTCCGCAATGGGAATAATCTCCTCCCATGGTGGTAGGGTAATAGACGAGCTTGGCATTGACAACGCCGCAGAAGGAACAAGAGATTCTGTAGGTATTTGCGGGTCATTCCTCGAGCTGCAGCATGTTTCTACGAGTAAGTAATTGCTCAAATAGGGATCCTGCATGTTCTTACCCAAGTACATCCAGAACCTCTCCCACTTTGCTTTCAAGGCTTCGCAGTCTATCTTCCTATGATGGCATTAGTATTTGGACAAAGGCCGTGGGGCTTGCATTAAGAAAAAAAAGGAATACTCACCAAAACCCGAGATGTTCGAGGTTCTGAATCATTGGGCCTTGGACTCAAGTCGGGAAGTGGCCGACGCCTTTCGTCGGCGTATAGACATTGTTGTCGTAGCCTAGCACACAAAGAACAGACTGGCTGCTCTCCGGGGCATTTTGCTTTCTTGCGCCTGAGAAATTGGTTAACAGCTACCTCTTTTAACAACCCAGATGGTCTGGTACCTGCAAGGTTCACAGGCCTGACGAACCCGCTTGGTGGGCCTCTCTGAATAGGTGAAACTCTCGTCTTCCATTGTTATATCTGTGAGAGTCAAAAATCAGGACGCACGGCTCTCAATGAGGACAGCCATACTAGAAGCATGGGGTGTTCCAAGAGCCCAATTGGCAGACTATACCAAAAGAGATAATTTCAGTGCATGGTCTTGCTTCGGGGGATATACGGATTCGAACGAGTAAAGCCGTTGTATATTATGGCCCTAAAGCCGGAAGTCACCCGTGAAATTGGCCAGTGGACCTCCCGAGGCTGTGAAACCGCTGAGTAATCAACTGTGAAGCATTCGGGCAACTTCGGGAGGGCCCATGGACGTGGGGCCGCGCCTGGGCTTCGGGGCTTGAATCCTACGATGCCAACCGTCTTGGGCATCACGTCCACGGGCCCAGCCTCATTCATGATCAGCTTTTGTTGTACTATTTTCTGAGCAGATATTAATGAATGACCTCGTACGTCCTGAGCCACGTGTGTCTAACCATGTCTGTCAAAAGGTATATATCTTAGTCTCATATAGAAATTCTTCTGTAACCCATTTGGCACAAGCCTATAATCCCCAAGCGCAACCCGATTTCACGTGCTATCTATGCACGAAGGCACATATTTGGAACTGAAGATATGGCATGTTCCAAGACTGTGTTGATTGCGATCGCTGCTATGTTGGAGACTTTCGGAATTCCTAAAGCTTGCCACAGGAGTATCAAACAATCGGACTTATACTACATATGTATATAACTACCACAGAAGTTATAAAGAGTACAACGCTCTGTAAAAGGAGATCGACCCAACGCTTGCCTAAACTCGGAATGACCTAGGCAAGTCATGCGTCATCCATTCCGACCTTCCCCGGATAAGACATCTCTCCACTGCGGTACATACGAGGAAGCTTGGAATACTGTGCTTCATGGTGAGCAGGATTGCTATCGTCACTTGGATGCTTGATAGGTCCAACAAAGGTCAAAATAGCTCAGCTTCGGCTTGCTGTGATTCATAACACAACCATCTCTATTCTATCGAAAATAGTACCACCCAGCTTGGGGCGAGGAATCCGAACGAGTACTTCTGTGAGACTGTGGAAACGATATATGGCAGCATCTCTTGGATTGGCGCTTGAATTGATGATATGTACAGCTCCAAATCTGTGTGGCTGCCAACCCATCTAACCCCTTCCTGGAGTAGAAATACACCACCCAAAAACAACTGATGCCGCAGCTTGAATAACCAACGGAACTCAAATGGCATCATTTATCTGTCAGACTAGGTCTCAGGAACTATAATCTAGTACCAAGTCTTGTGGCCCTGTATAAAGAAGTCAGCATGTGAACGTATTAGATTGGTTACTCGTGCTTCTCGTCGGAGCATGAGAAGTAGCGGGTTGGGTGCAACTAACGAGAACCATGCGGCACATGGCGTAGGTGGTAGCTATTGTCTATTAGTTTTCTATGCTCGACCGGATCTCATATCGGAAGATGGGTCCACTCACCAGCACCGAGGCCGTAGACCGAGAGGAGGTAGGGGTACATGATGTAACCGGAGCGGGAGGTCTGCGAGACAATGTCAATGTTAGTTTCTTGTTCTTTCCAAAGCTCAATTGAGGGCATATGCCCCTTCCGGAGTGTACTGACCTTGTACCATTGGCGCTTGCCATCGTGGTTCTGGAAGAGACGCTGGTAGTAGGGCACACGGTTCTCACGGAACACGAAGCTAAGCAGAGCCAACTAGTCAGTATAATCTGCAATAATATGGCGGGATAGCAGGGCCCCGCAGCAGCATCAATCGCAATTGGACTCCGAAGATCGCGGGAGGAAATTCGATGGGCGCACTCTCAAGATCGGGTTTGTGCGCGGGGGGCTTGTGTTGCGATTCGAAGGGAGTACATACCCAGCCATGCGGGAGCTAGTAGCACGGAACATTTTCGCGGTTGGAAGCGAAGAAGGAGCGGGGATGTGAAGTACGACGGGGGCAAGATGTGGATGTGAAGTTGGTCCCGGAATGAGCTGGATATCGTGTCACGTGCCGAGCATCACCTGATCGAATCAGACGTTGTATCTGGTCATCATCCCAAAAGGGAAAAGCGCCAGAAAAGTACCAGACGCGTATCAACTTTTGAATATTCGGCATCGAAACTTTTGGATTGACGTGGGGAGCTCGAAGAAGGATGTTTGGCATCGAGAATTTTCCTTTCCCGACTTTCCTTTCTTAATCACTCATGCGCCCGGCGCTTCTGCGACTGTTGAAGAGGCCGTCCGCCGTCTCGATCCTTGACACACTCACAGCAACACCGATCGGAATTGAGCAATTGGAGACCAGGTACAAGTGTCTACGATGTCATTCGCGAAGCGCCAAACAAGAACCACTCGAGGAACCCCACAATAGCCCGACCCGGAACCAGCTTGAGGATTCATGCCGAGGGAAACGGCCATTCAGCTTTCCCATCTACGACATTGAGACCTCGAACGAACTGAATACCCTTGAGCCCACACCTCTTGTGCAGAGCCAAACGCATAATAACACAACACAATGCCCTATCAAACTTCTGTCTCTCCGACCGGACAAGCTCGAATTCGAATCGGACGTCGGACACCTCAACAACATTGGAACACGATTAGTGGATAATCCAGAGCATCGAAATAATTTCGATCTGTGGGAGGAGCTTCTTCGATACCGCCAGCGTCATTACGGCGACAATGGCACGCTTGACATATGGGAAGGGTTGAGGGTCCGAGTGGATGGTGTACGGCTCCCAGTTGTAGGAGAGCAAGCGGACTTCTTTTGGCAGAGCTTTGTGGACATGGGGTTGAGGCGAGAGCTTTTTCTTAAGGAAGTTCTAGACTATGCTGTCATTTTACGGGAGCAACAAGGCAACGGATGGCCACAGCTGTATGAGCGCGTGGTGAGTGGACTTCTTGGCCAAGGCTTGACGAAACGTGCGGTCGAATGGCACAAGAAGCTTCAAAATTCTCATTTAGCCAGCGCAGCTGATGTGCTGAAAATCCTTCCATCGGCGATCCGTTCTTCGTCTCTTCCGGCTGGCACGGAAGTTGCGACTTTGGCTGATCTCGAGCGGCCGTCCTTGTCGCCGGGGTTGCAGGCTTTCCAAACCATATGCTCCACAACCCCCGACCATAATTTTTATGGCCCTGTCATTGCGATGCTCATGCAGCAAGGCCACGGAGAGGCGGCGATCTCGATGCATCATTTCCTCGCTCGACGTCAGGATCACCCACAGAGCCCTGACGAGATACAGCCATTGCTAGAATATGTTGAGAAATTCGGGCTACGGAAAGAGTTCAATCGACTCCGTGGCTATGTTAAAAAGCGATTTGATACCGAAGCTTCGATTGACCAACCTGGCCCAAAAGACACAACTCCAAAATCCGTGGGGAGGGGGTCGCACGACGAAAAACCTTTCAAAGATGACATTGGTGCCAAGCTGTTTGCCACTCGTGCTCTCAATTTTGATATGATCGTTGGTGGCCTGAAGATGCTCGGTGTATCGGAGATCGGCCACCGGACGTTGCGCGAACTAGCCACAAGAGCTCATGGCAACCAAGATCTTTTGGACAAGCTTAAAATACTTAAGCAGTCCGGCATTTCTATAGGAAGCACTGTCTTCTCGCGTTTAGTTCAAAAACTTGCAACCCAGAACCGCGACATCCTTCTCTCGGACATCCTCCGCAGCGATCAGCATCCTGACACTCTCGAAGACAAGCGGATGCAGGAGTCAATGTTGGTATCTTACTACATGGCCCGGGATTGGCGATTATACAATATGACTCTAGCGGTGTTGACAGAATTATACCCGGGAGCACCAGACCTCTACGACATTCACTTTCGAAAGCATATCGCGGCCTGGGAACTGAGCGCGGCGTCCAAGGTTGCCGACGAGCTAGCTCTTCGTGGCCGGACATTGGGCGAAGACAGCGTGGATTTTATGGCCGAGCAGATTCTCACCCCTCGGCGAATGAACCATCGCCCGCCGCCGGGCCAACGTTTGTCTGCCGTTGAGGAAGTGATGTTCATCTTCAAGATTCTAAAGCGTGTGGTTCCCGCGGGAGGTTATGTTAGTGCTGCATTCTGGATTGAGATGCTCAAGCGTCTGGGTATGGCAGAAGCATGGGCGGATTGGGATAAACTCCGAGATTGCTGTTTGTGGCTCGTCCGCCAATACGCTGAAAGCCCTGGGCAGAAGCCTTGGGCAGGTCTTCCATCCCCAATATCTTCTCTCGATCCCACCAAGCAGGCTAACGGTCGCGATCGGCGGATGCTCGATCTGGTGTTCAACCCACAAATGCAAGCCGCCATCGTCTCCTGGGGCTTCATGTTCCGAGTATTGGACACCACCGCATCGAAATTTGCCATCGCCCCGCTTAACTCCCAAGTGGACGAAAAACTCATTCCATGGGTACGAGGGCTGATTCTACTTCGAGAGCTGGAACAATCCGGTCTTCGTCTTGACAAGCGATTGATCTCACAGGCAGTTCGCCACCGGCTGGCCATGCTGTACAGCCACCATGTTCTGTCGGCTCGGCGCATGAATCGCATGCTACGGCGGCGGAACCCGTACTCTTTACAGCAAGTGTTGAACGATGTGTTCCAGGCCTGGGGCGATCGATCTCTCTTTGATGGGATGGAACAGAACCTAGAGCAGCTGGTGAATCCGCCACGAGCGAGCAGAACGAAGCGACGCGCCCCAGGTATACGTTTGTCGCTTAAAGGACTATGATACTTGCACTCTGCGTCCCATGTATATTAGCAAATATGTAAATAATTGATTATATTACCCATCTTATTTGAGAATCGTATATGTACACGTATGTTTCCTCCGCAGTTGAGACATTGATCATCAAGGATCAATCAAAGTTCATCTATAAAATGGCACATTGCTAAAAAAATTACGGAGTAATGCCTAGAAGACTGGGCTATGTCACAAATCCAAGAGGTCGATTGGGGTGAATAAGCCAATGGCAGTGCAGTTGTCGATCCACCGATCTAAGAATAGTTGAGAGGGCAACGCGGCCTGGTAAACATTTTGTTTATTTGAGGTCTTGTGCCTCCTTTTCTTTTTCTTATTTATATTTGATCTTTCGTATGATATTGTTATATTGTTATATTGTTATATTTCTACATCTCATCATTTGTGTACAGTTATGCGAGTATTCAACTTCCTGGCATTGTTGCCTGTGGTCCTTGCGAACCCTTTGATCCAAACGAAGCGTACGACAGCATGCAACAACTCTCCTGATCTTTGCTCCAAGACCTATGGAGCAATTACACATCTGGGCGCCCACGACAGTCCATTTGTGCGCGACAGTGATACCGGCAACTCGCTAGCTGCCAACCAGTACTACGACACTCCAACGCAACTATCAGCCGGTGTCCGATTAGTAACAGCCCAAGTCCACAAGAGCAACTCACAATGGCGTCTATGCCATACCAGTTGCGACCTGCTCGATGCGGGATTGCTGAGCACTTGGCTGACGGATATCAAGACGTGGTTGGATGACAATCCAAACGAGGGTGAGTTAGTTCCACGAGGATATTTAGAAAGAGGGTATACTAACAGCCCGTCTAAAATAGTGATCACAATCCTCCTAGTCAACTCCGATGACGCCACAGCCTCGGAGCTCAACACCGAATTCACAACAGCCAACATCACTGACTACGCCTACGAGCCCACCTCCCAAGGCACCGCGCCAACAACCTGGCCAACCCTCCAAACCATGATCGACGACGGCAAGCGACTGGTCGTTTTCGTGGCCTCCCTCGACACCAGCACTAGCTACCCCTACCTCATGTCCGAATGGAGCTATGTCTGGGAGAATCCATACGATGTAACCTCCGCCTCGAACTTCACATGCGAGGTAGACCGACCGTCAACATACAAAGACAACAGCGCATCCGCACTATCGGCCAATCTCCTCCCACTGATGAACCACTTCCTGTACTCGAACACCCTCGCGATCCTGGACGTCGAGTACCCGAACTCCAGCTACGTGGGGACGACAAATGCCGCGTCCGGCGGGACGGGTAACCTAGGTACTGCGGCGACGACCTGCAAGAAGGCGTGGAATGGGCGACAGCCGACTTTTATCCTGGTGGACTTCTTCAATCGCGGTCCGGCGATTGATACCGTCGATAACTTGAATAACGTTACCAATGCGGTTGGTCGCAAGTCTGTGTCGACTTCGGCGGATTCGACTAGTGATGCCTCGTCGACGAGTAATGTGTTCAAGGCGCTGGTTGAACTGGCGGCATCGGCTAGGTCAGGCACGTCGGTGTCTATGGGGAATTGGATTTGGACTGGCGGGAACTGGGGGAATCTTCTCGGCGGAGGGATTTCCTTCTGAGCTGAGTGATTTGGCCTCGGTTCCTCTTGTTTGTTTTTTGTTTTTTATTTTTGGAGCGTTTTGACGTTGTTTCTTGGATATCTTTTTCAGTCCTGGCGGTATGGGGCTGTGCCCTGGCTGGAAGGTGCATAGTGCAGGGATATACTCCGTAAGGGTATTTGCATTCAAGGACAAGGCGTTTTGGATTAGAAATGGGAAATGGGATGGATTTCCCCGGAATATCTAGTGATATAGTTTCTACGAATGGAATGATTCAAAGTCAATTGCCTCGTATTTTTCGAATTTCGAATTTCGGAGTTGAACTCGTTCTACTCTACTTTTTTCCCAATATCTGCTGCACCTTGGTGACCTTATCCTCGAAGGACTGCACTTTATCAGTCCTAGAAGAGACGATTAGCAATGGGAAATGGATTACGCCAAGACGAGCAAGGTGCATAGAAAAAAACAAAAAAAAAAAAAAAACAAACTCACCTCGTCCCAACCCGAATATCAGTATGAATCCGAACAATCCCCTGCTGATGAAGAATCGTATGCGCCTGTCCGATAACCTGATGAACCCGGTCCCAAGATCCTTCTACAAAGAAACAAAATCGTTAGTAAATATAGAACTAGGTTCACACAGGCCTGTCAGCTTTCAGCTTTCAGCTCTCGGCTCTCGGCTCTCTCCTTATCTCCTTCTCTCCTGTGATTTTAGTTTCAGCTGCAGGGACAGATACAGCCGAGAGGAGAGGAACGAGTTCCACCTAGATAGGAAGTGGAACCGGAAGTGGAAGTGGAACTGTAGATGTGGCCGAGGTATAATACTGGAATGATACTATAATACTACGTAGTGTAGTGTATTATAGTCTGGAGGGATGTACTCCATACGTACCGAGGGTTGTGCCTGCGGAATGCATGACATACTTCAGGCCGCATGTTTCAACCAATCGCTGGATGTCAGCGACTTGGTCTGAAACTGAGGGTGAAGAGGTGCCGATCTGGGGTTATGTTGTTAGTGTGCAGGTGGATAGGAGAATATGACTCGTCCGCGGGGTTAGAGGCTTAGAGGCTTACGGGAACCAGGCAGAAATCGGCGACGCAGTGAGCGGGGGTTGCGATGTTAGCCATATTGGAGGATGATGAGATGGTGAGATGGTCAGGTGGCCGGGTAAAAGAGAGTATTCGTTCAATAGGAAGATGGGGAGATGAGGGTTAGTATACAAAGTAATGTTAGTGGGGAGATGAGATGAGGATGTGGTCAGTGTGACACGCCATATCCGCAGGGCTGAACTTGGGCATTTACATGTTACGACATTTTACGACATTTACGACATTTACGACATGTTGACTACATATTGATGTACTTACTTTTTAATTTATATCTACCCTCGAGCCTCTTTCCAAGGCTCATCTCACATCTGCATACTTTTTTCCTGCATCTACAGTTTGAGAGATTTGCTTGACCGCCATTGTCCTATAAATGTGCTTTTGGCGTTTCCCCCCCCCCCTCTGCCCTTGAGGGATTTCATATCTAACTTCATGGGGATCTTTTATTCGATAATTTCATGATTTTATGATTTGGACTTTTTAAACCTCCTTTTAACTCCTTTAGTATGATCGACCCCGGGGGGTACGCCACTGGTTCCTACCCAGTCCCCACAACACTGAACCCTTGGTTTTCTAAGTGAATGTCGGGCTTCTTTGTCCGGCTTCTCCCTTTTTTTCTCTCAAAGTCTTCTCCTTTCGGTTCATACATAAAGACCTTTGTGTGCTCTTAAGCGTACTAGTTAAATTTTGTGCTTCGAAACTGATTGGATACCCCAACCTTGGAAGTGAGATCTGGCTAAACTCGGTTTAGCCCCTCTGGATCGGGTTGAGCCTCTCTCCACTGGATGCATATGCACGATCTATTGAAGATTGTTTCATAAAATACACACTCAACCTTTCGATCTTGAGAGTCCATTCAATACATTATCATTTGTGGCGGGGATCACTACATCATCCGTTAGCCACGTCATGATCACAGAGATAATTTGGATTTCCAGCCCGACACCCATCCCTCTAACGGATGACCAAACCCAATCTACTTGAACTCCCCTCGGGGGTTCAACTTGTCTACCTCGCTGAGGGAGGAGCAAACGTGATTTATCGATTCGTCAGAACCCCGGTACTCACTAAAAAAGACCCCAAGAAGCCACTATCTCCACCTGCACACGACCCGGATCGTTGCCACCTACCAGCCCAACTCAAGGGGAAATTACTCCGACTCCGCAAAGAAACCGCAGCCGACATCTCCTACACCGAGATTATCCGAAACTTCGACAGTATCATCCGACCGTTATTCAACCCGGAAGAACTAGTTGATCAAACCCTCATCAGACTCCCAGAGGGTCTCCTTACCAGCTACAACGAGCAACTGCGGACTGCAGAACTAAACGGCGCGCGTCCAAAAAAGCGTCATGGCAGTTACCTCTGTCTGCATGAGCCATTCGGTCTCCTCATCACCGACATGACGACAGCCGGAGACCTCGGCGCGAGTCTAGCCGAGCTGAAACCTAAATGGCTCAACCAGTCGCCATCAGCGCCCGCGACAGCACATAGGTGTCGGACCTGTGCGCTGCGGGATATGAAAAACTGCGAATCGCAAATCCAAGGCCTGAAAAAACAGCGGTCGTTCTGTCCCCTGGATCTGGTGTCGGAGCAGTATGAGAATGTGCTGCGGGCGACGGGGTTGATCAAGGGGTGCAAGGATCGATCGCGACTGGCTCGGATTTTGTATCGGAACCCGACGCTGCAGAGACTGCAGTCGTTGCAGAAGACGGAGAGGGATGTCGGATTGCAGGGTCCGGCGGCGCAGTCTCGGGAGATGTCGCTTGCGATGACGTTGCGGGACTGTACGATGTTTATCAAGGTGAGTGCATGCTACAAAGTCTAATGATATTTCTCAGCAGACAGAGGATCTTGACGTTGACGAGAACACAATCCAAAGTTCGAATACTGACCTCTCTATAGATCCCCCACGACGAAAAGTCACCCGTTGAAATCCGTCTTGGCGACCTCGATCTGAAGACAGGCGCCGGCGGGAAAGCCGGCTACTGGCGCGACCTGGAAACACGGCTCATTGACCAGGGCTGGTACCGGGGAAGCAATACCAGTCAAGAATCGGGTGAATGCGCTTTACATACCCCGCGAAGACCCTCTCAGTCTCATTTAGGATGAGACTATATCAACCTCGTCTGGGATGGCGATTGATGTTCTTGATGCATTGCAATTTTCATTTTCATTTTTGGTTATTCGAGCGAAGACAACAGAAGTCTTGAGTGTGATTGGTGTGGCTCCTCGGGCTTGTGTATAGTATTTTTGGATTTATGGTTTATTTTCGGGCGGTTTTTTTGTCGTTTCACGGTTTCATTTGGTTTTGGGCAAGGGTGGATGGATTTCTGATTTGTTTTTTAATGACTGCACGTTTCTTCGAATATGAAAAATATTGTAAACAAAACACAACTGATATCGCTCGAAAAGAGTCATCTAAGCCCTATCTAGCAAGCTATATCAAGCTGTTCCAAACTCCATAAGCTCGCACTAGCCTAAGAAATTGATAAATCTTTCTTGGATTTCCCCAGGGCTATGTTTTAGCCGGCTGATAGATCTGAAAACCCCGTGCTCGGGATTTCTCAGACAAGGACGCCGGAGATATCCCCGAACTTTTGAGAAGCATCCTTACTAGCAGCTACTTTAGCATGCTGGTCGGCCTCTGTATTCCATTCTCGTGGAATACGCCAGAATTGAATACGCATTCCTCTCTCATCCCACCGTTCCACCTCCCCGAGTAAACACTTCCAAAGATCCTTATTTTTGACCGGTAGTCCTGAGCTCGTTCTCCAATCATTCCTTATCCACTTTTTAACCCATTTCGTCATACCCTCCACAACGTATTCAGAATCAGTAGCGATAACTAGACAGCGACATCCTTCGCCAAGCCAGTATCGAAATCGCGTAGCTGCAATTACAGCGCGTAATTCAGCCCGGTTACTTGTTTGTAGGCCCTCCATACCAGTAGGACCTTCTTTTTCGAGAGGAAAGCTTGCATGCCCACAGACTGTAGGGTTCAGCGTCGAATTTCTGTACACAAAGGAACAACCAGCTCTTGGATTTTCACCGCCGTTGTCTAAGCAGGCCCCATCCGTATAAACCAGGAATTGGTCGTTTTCGGCATTGCGACGAATGAACCGATATGCGGGTGGCGTGGCCTGCTTAGCTCTGTCTAGTGGGAAAAGCGACGTGGGCGTGTCACTTGGATTTGGGGGATTGAACTTCGTGGGGAAGATGCGTCCCGTGCCTACTCTGAGCTCAGTGCCAGAGGCAAAAGGGGCAAACACACCGAGGGGAGGTTCATCTCCATTGGAGATATCGATGTCGTCATCGGTATAGTCGCTGTGGTACGAGTTTTCTGTGTCTTCATCGTCCTCGTCCTCGTCCCCCTCCTCTAATAACTCGTCCATAAAGCTATAATCCACGGTGCAATAGCCACATATTGTGAGTCTGTGTGAGCGGCAGACTAGACGACCACTGGGAAGTGTTATAGGGTCGTCTGGATGCCAGGCCATGATGGGTACAGCACTTTGACGAATTGTCTAGAACACTAATTTGTAATGTTTTGGGGACCTAGGCATGGAATGTTAGCTGTAGAAATTTGGGTTTCAAGGAGGACAAACTCACAACTGAGAAGACTAGATAAAGCGATGAGGGGAAGAGAGGATAGAGGCTGAATCCGGCGGGTTGAGACACCATCGCGCCAACCCATATAATTGTTTACCGCCTATTTTTCCGCCTTGTTCTCACCTATATGTGTACTCAACCCTAGGGACCTACATAATTCTTCGGCTTCTCCTACTTCTCCTTCTATTATCATCGTAGGCTTCTAAGTATAGTTAAGATAGGCCTTGACAAGTCCCGCAGTACCCCTCACAGTGCGTGTTGAGTTCTCTTATCCATTCCATTTAGTCATATCGTTTTGATCAACTGATGTTCCAAACGTCAATATGACCAGGCGCCCATTTCTTCCCTTAAATGACGAAGTCCCCTGGATTTTGTTTCGCACATCTTGCGATGGCAAGGGATGCGAGGAATGTGAATTTCCAAGGGCGAAATCTTCTACGCAGCTTGAGACTGTCTATTACTAGTGAATTACTCTTACCTGAGCTTGCGAAGGCGCCTATAGCTCATGTGGTGCTTGATCTCAGCGGTGGGATTGGAATATTACAATGTATTAACACTTATCTACTCGACGATGTCACAGCACAACTGAAGATCCAACAGGTAACATATAATGACACAAGTGAACACCTTTTCCTCCTTCACAGCTCATTCAAGACAGCAACACAGAACCCCAGTACCTCAACTAGCCAAACTGACAATCCTATGCAGTGATATTCCCACCCTCTTGTACCAGTCGAAGGGACTCTCACCCCTAGGCCGAGGATACATCTAAACAGCCCCACCCAACACGCTACCCAGCGGCAAGCTATCCACTAATCTACCAGAGCTAGCGCTAGCGTTCGGCACCAGGGTAGACTAGCTAGATATCTCAGAGGGGCGAGAATCTGGCGTACGGGACACTGGTAGGCAAGCTAGGTGTCATAGAGGGACTAATGTGCGGCACTCCGGTGGGCCAGCTAGGTACCGTAAATGGAAACGCGGTTGGCGTGGCCAGTATCTTCAGCAGGGTGGGGATGGGCGTGCTGGATGGGGTTGGGATCTGGCCGGATGGGACCCCTTGACTGCCCAGTGCACCGAGGCCATTGAAGAGACCGATGGAGATTTGGGCTGCGGCGTTGCTGCTCAGAGCTGTCAGGGTGGACAGAGTGAGGAGGATATTGAAGTTCCCTCATGGATTCCAGAAATAGTATCGAAATGAGCGGCCTGACCGACTTGGTGCCACCAAACGAGAACGATCCTCTCCTTTTAACACCCACCAACACGACCGACCATGCTATCTTGACACCGGCAACAATCGTCACAGATAAGAACCAGGATCAAGATAACTCACAACAATCTCACAACAATAAGCCCTGCGATGGTTCAGATCATCCTTTCTGTTCGAGATACGCAAATAAGAAAGTGTTGGGTCAATACATCCCCGAAATCGACGAGAATTATGTGCGCTCTAAATTACGCAAGACCGCGGCATCCAAACGATCCAAAATGCTTCGTAACCAATTCATCACGGCCACTATTATCGGTTTAGCAAATATAGCGACACTAGTTTGTGTTTGGGTATACTTCCCCCCAGATTCGCGAGGCATAGGAACGTTACGTATGGGTGACTGCTCCGAGGTAACAACTATCGACAGCGCGATACATATGGTTCTGAACGTGGTATCGTCCCTGTTTCTCGGTGCTGGCAGCTATTGTATGCAAATCTTGGTCGCTCCGTCTCGACGGGAGATGGATGACGCGCATTCTCGCGGTATCTCTCTCGATATTGGGGTACAGAGCCTTCGGAATCTACGATGGATCAAGCGAAACAGAATATTTCAATGGGGAGGGATTGGGCTTTTGTCAATCTGTTTGCATTTGTTGTGAGTTGTCTGCTATTACATCGTAGGAGTATGATTCTGATATTTGCTATGCGCTGTCTCCCAGTTGGAATTCCCTCACTTTTACCTCGACCCCAGTCGTGAGTTATGCATCGGCTACCGTTACAAGCGACTTCCAGGCAGTAGGACGTGATTGGGCCTCAGATCCTCCCCGACAGATATCTTCTGGACACGACTGGTCTCCGGTGTATGACCTATACTCCCAGATGGCCAATTTCACACGCCTGGACAAGCAAGAGTGCATTGATTCATACATCGACCCTCTGAAAACCAAGAAGCCCGTGATTGTCGTTACATCTAACGTCACAACGGCCCAGAATGATAATAGCCCTGTCATTAGTGGTTGGGTCACAGGGTGGGACGTTTAGAGCCGCTCACCCTGGTGGATATGTCAAGCTTATAACCTTGATTTCAAGCTTCTATACTCGAGAGAATAGGCCAAAACCTTTGTGGACAATTGGACAGTCCTCACTTATAATTACCCAGGGGATAATGAGTCTAACAGGCCTTTCTGGATTAAGGTCGATTATTACCTTGTGGGTCTCGAGAGCGACATCAGCCGTCGCTGTGGCCTGCACTATAGAACACAGATTTTCATAGTCATAAGTGTATACACATTACTCCAATGCTGCTTTATCTCAGTTATCTGGTGGTCCTCTCGCACAAAAGCTAGCTTAGGTCAAGGAGAAAGAATAGAAAGAACCATGGTTTTAATAGGCGATGCTATCGCGGAGTATTTAGAGCATCCAGGGGATTTATCGGAATCTCAGGCTGTCCGTATACATCCACAGGTTTGGCGCCCCCAAAACCGGCTTTCGTGGTTCAAAATTGTTAGCCCTAAGATATAGGGAATTTCCTTAACACTATGAGCTCTACAAGCACCGCATCACAACCCATTCAGAGGCGAAGAGCTAACGGGGAGAAACTCTAGATTTGCCCTTGATATTGCGGCTCCAATAGCTATATTGGTTGATAACGTTGTCTATTAGAAACCCCGAGGTCTTGAATTGAGCATACCGACCATTTTCAATCTAGGCTTCGGCCTGAATGCTGATTTTCTCGGCCTAGGGAGCGAAACACGCAACTACAGCCTGGTCCAATGCGTTTTTCTTGCCAACATTGTCCAGCTCATCATTAGTTTTATTTATCTGTTTTACAACAATATCTTAACACATCAACTTCTCGCCGACCAGTGGGTACGGTTTCTACGCCCAGACGGAAAGAAGTCACTACGCGTTTCCACGCCTCTTAGGATGCAGCGCTCGTCCTATATACTCTCCCTTCCCCTCACATATTCAATCACACTTATGATCGCCATGATCATACTTCACTGGCTTGTGTCCCAAAGTCTATTCGTTGTCCAAACTATAGGTTTCGACACCGACGGCGAGCTGCTGCTTCCCTCCCGCTTTAATGGCTCAGCGGTCGGATACTCAATTCTACCTATTGTTCTTGCAACAATATGTGGGGGCATTATGGTGATAGGGTTGCTTGTCAATTCTGTGGTGCGAAGTCATCAAAATGTGCCACAGGGGTTCTTAACATGGGGATCTAGTAGTGCTCATATCGAGTCTCTGTGCCAAAGACCAGACGAGGACTTTGATGCACATCTATTCCCTGTAAGCATAGGGGTTGTTACATCTAGTCTTCTAGGGGGTCCAACTGGTCCGCCTCGACTGGCATTTACAACAGATATCGCTTTGCGCTCACCGAAGGATGAAGAGATATATGTACTCCCCGCGAGGAAAGAAAAGCCAAAACTACTGTAGCGATAAAACGTGAATCCAGCAAGGCATGGCATTTGATTGTGACATTCTCACAGAGGTTCTGAAATTAGGAAGCGGGACAGATTGAGTGACTTGATTTTTCAAATCCACTTTTCTTACATTACTATGGCTTTCATATCAATCTTCGGGTATAGGACGGAGGCAATGGAAAGGGAAGGGAAAAGGTAAACAACAAAGGGCTGGGAAAATAGAAGAGACAGAGTGTTCAATCATGGATCACTTGCATTTCACTTTAAGCTGAAGACTGTTGTCCGTTACTCGAGTAGACAGACTTGTGTCAATTGAAATTCAGGTCCAAACAGTCAACGGACCGAAGATATCAATTTAAATTTCGCTGGCTTGAGAGTCTTGATCATTACCTTGTCGCTGCACCGATCATTAAGATGAAATCGACGCTGGAGGAAATTGATTCGAATAGGAGCATAGGCGGGGAATCTCCACCCCTCCAGACCACCAGACCAGCCTTGATCGATACCAAAATGATTCATACTGAGAACGATGACGAGCCATGTCAGGAGAAGCCAGCACTCAAAACTATTTTCATTGGGATCAAACTCCATGGTGGTCTTTGGGGCTATCTGGTTGATCGACGCAATGACCACACTTGAATAGGCCCTGCGAGTCTGCCACCATGATACATCCGCTTTCAAAGTTCTGAACGGTTCTGAGATTCCCCCTTCGATCACAATGGTCGGCCATTTTTGGGAAACGGGAGGGACACGTCGTAGAAGTTGGGAGATACCCGTCTACAATACAGCCATTATGAGTATTATAAAATAGCCAAGATAGAGAGATGGCACTTATCGGCTGTGTTTTGCTTTCCATGTCTCAAGCCCAACAATGATCACAGTGATCAGAATGACCATCACCATCTGCGTAACCCGAAGACAACCAGTACCATAATTGTTACACAAAAGCTGAAATGTTTGGCATTTGGGTCAAATTCTATATGGTGTATGGAAAGTAGGAAGTGATAATTTGGCAGTCAAAGTAGAAATGAAGTTGTAGGTTAGACTCTATAGCCTAAAGTCATCGACGGGTCAAGGTACGACATAATCGGATAAGACGAAGGTAATCTGTAAAAAGACATGAGAGTGATCCACCCTCAACTTGAGATTTAATAATAGAGGATACCTGATGTGAGTGGTATGTGAATTACAAAGAAGAAAAATGAAATGACCAGTTGAATTGACCCGGAAAGACTACGATAGGAGGAAAGCACGATGACGAGATGAGCCATGACTAGCGTCTTCAATGGCATCTACAGATGATTTGATTTGATTTTGTTCAACGGAATTCTCAAGTGAAATGTTTTTGAACATATTTTGACAGAAAAACAACAAATATAGAAGAACTGAAAGGGCACAACTAGTCTATCAACAGAACTACTAAAATATGCATTGTCTTGGGGTTGACAATCATTCTAGACATGAAGACATATTCCAAGTCACGAAGGCCTTGTGGTTTCTTTACAAGGGAGCTGTTGAATTCAATCTATACCAAAATATATATACCCCAATCCCTCCCTCATCTATATCTATATCTAATCTATAGCTTCCCAAAAATCTTAACTCTCTCCTCGACAGGCTTCTGCACCTTCTCCCCGGCAGGACCCTCGGGATTTCCAAAGACTAACTGAGCAACATTCCGCCAGTCACTGGGCACATCCCACTGCTTCGCAACACCAGCATCAATGAGCGGGCTATAGTGCTGCAAGTTTGCACCGAAGCCGAGCGCTTCAAGGCCGGTCCAGACTGGTAACTGTTAGATCGAGAAAACAAATATTCCGTAGAAAAAGAAACGAATAAACATACGGAAGTACTGATGCATGGCATTGGAGTGGTCCGCCCACGGCACGAAATTATCCTTGAAGGTAGCGAATTTCTCCTGCATGGGCTTGATGTGCGCTGGGTCTTCGTAGAAGAGGATCTGGGCATTGATTAGCTATGGATAAGACTGGGTACCTCGAATTTCAAGGAAATGAACCAAATTCAAACGGGAAGCAAAAAGTACGTACCGTTCCATACGCTCCCTTAAAACCAAGCAACTTAGGCAACGTCTGCTTCTCCCAAAGCTCCTGCGGGATCTTACCCGCCTTAACAAGTCCCTCAAAGGCCTCGATAGCGATATCCCACAGCCTATCGTGCTGATCATGGAGGAGAACGACTAGTCGCGTGGACTGGGTATTGAACGCGCTGGGGACATTCAGGATGGCCGCATTGACAAGCTCTTCAATCTTGGAGTCTGCGACTGGGCTTTTCTTGCTAAGATTGTAGATCGTGCGCCTGTTCTTGGCTAGATCGATTAGGGTGCTGGGCATGTTTGCTGCTGGGGTTGGGGCTTGTTTGCGGGTTGACGAAGAGAATGAGCGGGGAGTTGTTTGGTGGGTGGATACCAGACGTGTTGGGCTGGTTCTGGATAGTGCTGCGCGGGTTATGGCTTGTAGGCGGGATTGCATGAGGCGGGTTGTCATCTTGGCGGTTTGGGTTAATTTATAGGTAGCTTTTGGTGTGCGGATATGTCGTTTATATATCCATGGATGTTATGTCCCGTATATTTTTTTAGGCTAGTGCTTATTACTCAATTGCTAATCCGGTGGCTTATGGCTTAGGTATACCCCATCCCGTGCTCTGGGAAGCGCTCGGGGCAATTTCAGGCGACCATCGTGAGTTCCCGCTCGGGCGGAATTACGGAGTTAAGTAATCATTTATCAGCTGGCAGTTGGGTTAATCAGCAATTGGTTAGTATCACAAATTGATTACTTTGTCCAGTGATATATGGGAGTATTAGGGAAAACATAGATTGAATAAATGAATCATAATTGAAGTTATTTAGCAGTTATCTTACAAACTTAGGGTCAAAACCAAAGTACCATATGCCTAAAAGAGGTCAGAAACATGTACCCTTGCACCATAGTTAACTAGTATTCTTGAATGTCGCAAACATTACTCCGTACTCCGTACTCCGTACAATGATATTAAAAGAATCAGGCCTTATTTCCAGCAAGATACCTAGAGACTTCACTTGAGTTAGCATGGACACATATGACGCATATTGCAAAACACAAGGTAAAATTGGCAGGCTCAGAGACCCGTCTTGAAACATATAAAGGTATCAATTTCACCATAAAAGGTAAGTAACGGATAAACTAGCATCACTGTGTGCCATTGGGAAAGAAAGAAAAAAGTCAAAGGCATCGCGTACCTGAGCTAGTTGGACCCGCCCGGGAACGGGAGCCATCACGGATCAAATTATCCTGAACCTGTTAGATGGCGATTTTGATATCGAGACGGAATAAATTCGATTCCCAAAGCTGTGCATATACAAGCAAAAAAATATATTATAATCTTTTTTCATGCTTATTGTCGAGATTTCATCTTTCAAGAAACCATCCCATATCAAGGGAAATGATACTCTCGAGACGAATTGAGCAACTCCAAAACATTTTCGGGGATTCGACGAAATTCGCGCTATTCTTTAGAGGTTGCAGGGCTCAAGATTGGCCTTATTTTCTTCTACTTTATACGGGTCATTTGTTTACGCGAGAGGGCAGAAAGGGCAGCGGCCCTATCTTGTTTTGCTTGTTTTCAGTCCAGGGCTGATCCACGATGTCGTCATTAATATTGAGATTGACATTGGGGATAAAATTTGACCCTGTAGGAAGTAATGACCACCAATATTTTATGGAGAATGCTTGATATTGGCTGATTGGCAAGGTGAAAGGATGGGTTTTCGTGATTCTACCAAGCACCTAGTATCTTGTTTAGTAGGCCGAAAATATGTCTACATTATACCACATACAAAATCCTAGAAGATACTTGACCCAGAATATCCAATGAATTCCAAGAGTAAGCAACTAACCATAGTCGATCCAGTAGCATGCTGAATCGATGGAGACTAGATACTACAACATAAACCGTCTGCGATAGCTTTAAAGTGATAGTTTCAAGCCAACCATTTCAAACAACATAAGTAACATACTCTAGACCCTTCTATGGTGGGCAAAATTTTGCTGACAATGATCAACAATCACTGAGTTGATGACCTTGGGATTTCTAACGGCGTGGATATCGGTGCACATTTACAATGTGTCTATTGATGTTGGTATTGAGGGAAGTATCGCCCGCGAACAGGAAATGCTTGATAGTTGGAAGGAGATCATTGGTTTTACTGACTGTGATGATGTGCAAGCTTAGAAAAGGCAGAGATGCATGTCTTGAAACCCGACTGAAATAAGATAACACTATTGGAAATAATTGCTCATCTCCATCCTAGATTGCAATGTCCCTCGTCAAGCCTATAGATTTTCAGGTATGTAGTCGAGGCAACTCAGAATTCATCAGCACTCACAGCATATATTCATTAGATGTGTTTGGTAGATCATTCTACAGCTATCTGTGATATTCTTGGGGTTGTTCGTGGTTGTTATAACCGGAATTCGTCCTATTCTGCTCATAGGAGGAGCGTATAAAAGGTATAGGATCAAAAGGGAACAAAAATGTCTGTGACTATACCCAAATTGGTGCATCAAACATAGTTCGACAGTCTGCAACCCAGGTTAACTAAATAGCTCTCCAATAGAAAAGGATTAAATACTCACTCAATAAGATTTCCATCAGGATCTCTCACATATACACTACGAATCTTTCCAACGGCCCCGGTTCTTTCTACAACCTTGGCGCCTTCCAGAACCTGTAGAGGTCGTCAGTCTATATCTGCGCCATATAGGAAAAATATATGGAGTGTTCATACTTCAACTCTGGCATCCTGGAATACTTCCAAGACCTTTTCCACATTCTCGTCTGTCAAGAAACACAAATCGGCACTTCCTGGCATGACATCCTGGGCCTTGGGTTCGAATTCTTTGCCCGATTGGTGGAGATTTATTTTCTGAGAGCCAAAGATGAGGGCATGTCTATTATCGTCAATGCCTTTTAAACATCCACTAAGGTAAAAAAAAAGAGGGGTTACCTCTGAATGGATTGGTTGGTTGGTGAGGTAAAAATCTCGTGCCGCATGCCGAGGTAGGTTGTATAGAATGCCACAGTTTTAGGGATGTTGCGGACTGTTAGGACCAGGTGGTCCAGAGATTTGACAGCGAATTTCCCAGCCATGTTTGGGTAACCAGTAGATGTGATGCTATTCAAGGATGGTTGCCTAACAGAGGTGCCTTAGGGGCCCGCGGGGGCCGTGGAGCATGACTCATCATATGTAGGCTCGGGGGCTACTCCAATACACCCGAGGTTGTTATCTATACTTTTGGATTATACAAAGTACAGTTCTCTAGATATTTGGATCTGGACTAACGAGAGGGGTATGCGAGGTGGCTGAGCCCATGCTATCAATCAAAATCCACCATTCGAGGCAGGATGCAGCCACAAGTCATCATTCCACTTACCCCGCTGAAGCCCCGAGCAGGATAGCTTCATGTATATTCCTTGGCATGATGTGGCTCAGCAAGCAGTGAGATCATCGGGTATTGGACGAGATAAATGCCGCAACAGGGATAAGTAGCGCAAGATAAACTCATGCAACCCAGCCCTGGGGGTATAAAGAGGCACCCCGCATTATCCCAGCGCGTCTTGTGAACAAACACGGCCATACCAACAGCCATGTCCTACATATCCTACTCCAACGCCAGACTATCGCACTCATACTCTTGCAAGCCCCGCAAAACCCTCCGATCACCGGACCGCGATATCGCCTTCCGCAACCAGTACATAGCGCGCTCAAAGACAACCCTCGTGCTCAGACCATTCGGCAGCCCCCACTCCGCCGTCGCATATAAGATCACCGAAGAAGATGGAACACCACAGTTTACAGTAACCGGTCGCAAATACACCGATCGCTCGTGTCGGGAGTTCCGCGATGATTCGGGTCTGCCGCTCTTCGAGCTGCATCGAAAATGGTCATGGACAAATAGTTGGTCGGTCAGCTTGCCCGGGTGTGATACTGCGACGATAGCTACTGGCGCTCCACGATGGACGCTGGGGAATACTTCGTTTGGGAATTTTAATCTTTCGTTTGAAAATGCGGCTGCTTTTGAGGGGAAGCGCAGGGATGAGAAAATGCTTACTTTGCATATTGAACGACATGGAAATGCGCTGGCGCTTTTTGACGTTGTTGATGGGGATCGGAAGGTCGCTGAAGTCCGGGAGAGTATTCAACATAATGAGAAATTAGCTTTGATGAGAAGCTCTAGACAGGGGTATCGACCTGCCATGGATGTCATTGTAATGCCTGGAGTGGATATTTCGTTGGTGAGTATTCGAGTCTTTAGGGGTTTTTGGTGTGTATAGATTGACTAACATTTGTATAGGTTGCGACTATTGCTGTCATTGTATCTGACTGGGTTTTTAGTTCGAGTTGATTAAGTTCCTTGTTCTTCACTTTTCTTAAGTACAAATCAAGCATATCAAGCATATCAAGCAAATGCCAAGGTGTTTTCGGTTCTTGTGTTGGGCTTGGCGATCTTCTCTATCAACTTCATTTTAACACATCCAAACGCATTCCATGGCTTTGCTGAGCAAACAAAGCCATACGTGCCACGTATTATAAGAGAGTGAATCCTCCCTCATGCCTACTCTCTCATGAAATTTTCTATTATTATTCTACTGCCTATTATTCGCATATAATATACCCTCTATCCATTATGGCTGTTGATTAGCTACTAGGATTACTACAAGTCCCTCATTCATACATAGAAGCCGCAGAAGTGAACACACCTAGCCTTGAAAATAATCTATATTGGTTGATATTTTTCTTGCTCTCTTCATCAGTTGCTACCTAGCAGTACACGCCCATCAGTATCTCAACGGTGAGATCTAGTGATTTTCGGAGTGAATATCAAGATGCCTTGGGTGCCTCTCCATAAAAAATTAGATATTCATTTTTTGGCCAGTTAGATACTAGGCAATTTCAGAGACTCAAGCAAGATAGGCTGCATAGCCCTCAGAACACGAAAGCTATTAAATTTTAGGTTTGAAAATTTTATATCAGCCCTAGGGTGGTATAACGGCTCATGACCAGGTCTTCAAGACGAGCGATTCAGTTATTTTTACTCGAACATGTCGTCTGTTAAGTCAAAAGGCCTTTTGCAGCCTATAGTTTGAGTAGATCCTATTCTTCCTTCTTCTTTGTTCATACCTTGGCATGCATGGGTACAGATACTAGTCAAATGTAGTTACCCACCCCACCCCACTATATTGGCCCAACAACCAATTCACGTTTTTCTTTTCCCTCCTACACCTCCCACATTGCTCCGATTTCAATGAAAATAGGACCGAAAATTAGCAAAAAGGCGCAACTTTCTACTGTACAAAGGTCAGCTATTATATATGCTCATAGTAATGGTGTAACGTAGGTTCAATTAGCTAATGATTTTGGCTGTACGCGTAAGACAATCTTTAATACGCTTAAGCGCTATTCGGAAGGCGAAAAGCTTGAAAATCGCGAAAAAAGCGGCCGTCCCTTACTTATTAGTGAGCGCGCTTGCTATCATCTCTATTTATAGGCACGTCGGCATCCGTTTTGGACCTATAAACAGCTAAGTGCTGCTACAGCTCAGTATCTGTTACCCTCCACTATATGTCGAATTTTAAAGCGATTCGGACTCAGAAAACGGCGATCGAGATAGAAGATTCTAATTAAGCCTTCTCTTACTAAGAAACGGCTAAGATTCGTAAGAAAATGGCGGCGGGAAAGCTTCTAATTGTAGATCTTTTCGGACGAGTGTTCGGTATAATAAACCTCGAACTTTAGACTATAATAGTGCTTCTGTATAACCTCAGAGGGCCTTCGAAAAGATCTTATAAATACAAAGGTTCACATTAAAGATATTTTATAAATGGTTTGGGCTGGAATCTGGCTTAGAGGTCGAACAGAATTAATAATTATAGAACGGGACGAAGACTCGCCTTCGGGGAGGGGTTATACTGCAAAATCGTATATAGAAACGCTCGAAAAAGGTCTACTACCATTCTATATACCCGGGATAGTATTTCAGTAAGATAACGCGAAGATTTATCTAGCGAAGGACACGAAAGAGTGGTTTAAAACTCACGGAGTATACGTCGAAGACTGGCCCGCATACTTACCCGATTTAAACCCGATTGAACCGGTCTAGCGCTGGTTAAAACAAAAACTCTTTAAGATATTTCCAGAGCTTATTGACCAGGGAAGATCGAAGGCAGACTGGCTTAATTTTAAAAAATGCCTGGTGGTTGTATAGAACGCATTACCTCAGTCGAAGATAGATGCACTGATATTGAGTATAGGTAGACGTTTGAGGGCAGTACGGAAGGCTAGGGGTTATTATACAAAATATTAAGCGAAATTTTTATTGTGCTATTATTAAGCAAGCTTCAAATTTAATTATAATATTATAGACCATATAATGGTGGTGCTATATACTGTGAAAGTGATATATATATTTTGCATGGGGAGTCGAAAAAAGTGGAGTGGGTAACAACATATGGTAGGTGATGTATTTCCCCCTTTAGCCTCATGTCGCATCGGGCCTTCATTGTCAATGTTTTAGACTCTGTTCGGCTCGGGCCCTGTTAATTAGAGAAATCGGCAATAATCTCGGACTTCTCAGCCGAGTGGTACTTTCTACTCGAGTTGGTTGGCTGAAAGCCCTTGGCCTAGCCAGCCACACTCGGCGCTTGGACAAAAGATTGTACAACGCAGCGCTCTCTGCAAGAATGAAACCTGATTCTGACAAGAATAAAATGACCCCTCACTACAAATAGGCCAGCACGTCAGGTAGGAAGATAAGAAGTAACTGCCCTTGACTTTTATTTCTTTCCCTTTCTTGGTCCATTTTTGCGCGGAGATCACTCAGACTTTGCGTACTATCGGGACTCTCTATTGACGCCATGTTTAACTTCTTGAATGCTTCAATGATCACGTCTTTGCTGATTGTTGTGATCGGCTCTTTATTCCTTTACTACCTCCACGCAAAGATCTCGGAGCGAGTCCTAAACAACTTCCAAGCCAGCGAAACATGGATCCCAGAGAATGAGCTAGTCCTTTTGACCGGGGGCAGTGGTGGCATTGGCAGACAGATAATGCAAGACCTTTCTCGCATGAGAGTACGCGTTGTGATCATCGACATCAACCACCCTACCTTTGACCTTCCCGAAAACGTCACATTCCATCAAACAGATATAACCTCAGCTCAATCTCTTTCCGAAACGGGCGCTGCTATTCGAAAGTCATACGGAGAGCCGACTGTTATCGTGAACAATGCTGCTGTTTTTCACCATGGTACAATTCTTGAAATGCCAGAGGATAAATTACGTCAAACATTCGATGTCAACATCATCTCTCATTTCCTCGTCATGAAGGAATTCCTTCCGTTTATGATCCGTATGAACCATGGCCATGTTGTTACAGTAGCAAGCGTCGCAAGCTTTGTTACTATAGGCGAGATGGTGGACTATGCTTGTTCTAAAGCTAGCGCTCTTGCTTTCCAAGAAGGCCTTCGGCAAGAGTTGAAATATTGGTACAAGGCTCCCAATGTGCGGACGAGGTGAGTTTGGGGAGGCTTTTCTTCAAAAGGAAATGATACTGATATTACCTAGTACCGTTCACCCCATGTGGGTTCAGACTCCCATGATCGAAGGCTTCACCAAATATGAAGCTGATTTCCGTCAACCGCTCCTGGATCCAAAGGACGTCTCCCAGGCAGTGGTCAAACATATTGTTACTCGGAAAAGTGGGCAAACCATTGTTCCTAGACATTGCTCGATGATTGGGTCGCTCAGGGCTTCGCCACTGTGGCTACAAGAGGCAGCTCGTTCATACATGTCGAGAATTATCCTGCGAGTGAGTATTAAGCGGGCCGCTAATGAAACTCCAGGCTCGGGTGTTCCTTAATTTGATATTGCTGAACAAATGTCGAGACTAAGCTTCAAAGTTGTGTCCATTGGAAAGGATCGGGGTAAAAGAATGAATCATGGCCTATATTATCTGATTTTGTTAGTTAAAGTGTGGGAGAGTCAGATGTTATACACAGTATTCGTTTCCGAAACTCCAATGTTTTATGTTATTCTTGACTCCGCTGGAAATTCAAACCCGAAAATCCGGACGCTGTCTAAATAATTCCAAAAGAGGCAAAAACAACCTTCTCCCCTCAAACCCAACCCCAGCCTCCATCTCCTTCTCCCCATACACACGCAACTCATCCCACGAAATCCATTCCCACCCCTCACACTTTTCTGGCTCAAGTACCTACCAATAAGTAAGCTGCATATCCTTTTACCGTTCCTGCAGTGTAGGCAGCCGCGATATAGGGATATGCAATGAAAAATGCCACGAAAAAGCAAGTTCACATAACGACCCAAAACGCATAAAAAGCAAATATCAATCAACTTACCTGAGGATCAGCACCCTTATCACAGACACCTCCCATGAAAATGGTAATGTAGTGTTTATTCTCGGCTTTCATGATTGAATTCGTGGCATTTAAGAAACGCACATCCTGGATCTTCAGGCCTGTTTCTTCGAGGGTCTCACGGGCCGCACAGGTCTCGAAGGATTCACCGAACTCGAGGTGTCCGCCGGGTAATCCCCATGTTCCTTTAATTACGAACGGTAAGCTTTACTTATAATTGCTTATAATGGCTTGTCTACTGCATATGTGGGAATGTTCGGATATTGGATGCACGTACCGGCGCCAAGACTTCCCTTTCGCTTGCCGATAACGAACTTGCCTGCAGCATTGAAAACAAAGACGCCGACTCCGACTTTGGGATCCATTTTATTGTAGGGGTGTTTTGAGGAGAAGAGGTTGAAGTGTGATTCTGCGCTTATCAGGAAGTGGGGGGATTCTCTCTTGGCTCTTCCAGGGGTAATCAATGTCAACCTAAGAATTGGCCCCCTCTAGATGTAGCCTAGTAGGGAAATGGCTGTATTTTTCCAACAATAAATACCCTATGCTTTATACTGCATTACAGTGGATTTCACTATTTCTTCTATGATCCTACATATCGTAAATGCCTCAGGGTTACTAGTGGTTATCTCTAACCTTGAACGACACAAAGCGCTAAAGTGTGACCAACAGTCACATCCTGAAACGAACTTGATCTACCTCACATGCATACAGCATGCTTATCTCTTGGGTTTATATGCAGTAGCTCATGGGGCCAAAAGAAAAAAAAAACAAATCCTTAAACCAGGGTTGGTTCTCAAATTTAAGCTTGTCCAGCACAACCAACATCGTACTATATGAATCCCGTCACACGAAAACAAATATTACAGCCTATCATCGCATTTTTAGGGCATGATATGTCAGAGTAAAGACCAATTTCAATGATCTACATGAAAGGAATCATGACCTTCGTCTAGTTCCCACTCCCATCACACGATGATGTGATCTATACAAATCCGCTCGGCTCCTTGCTCTCTCTCTCATCCATATTTATATCCCATCCCATACACTCCCAGCATGTATATCCCATCAACCAAACTCCAAACCCTCAGTTGACATCAACCTTCCCACAATTCAAATCCCGTCAAGCATCACTCTACATAATCCTCGATCTCCTAAACAACCAAAATGCACTTCAACATCCTCCTCACTCTGTCCACCCTGACAGCTCTGAGCAGCAACGCCGCAGCCCAAATCTCCATCGGTCTCTTCAATGGCCTCGGTGCACTGGGCAGTCAAGGGGTCCCATCCGGCCAGATCCCAACCCCATCCAGCACGCCTATCCCCACCCTGCTGAAGATGCTGGCCACGCTAACCGCGTCTCCCTTTACGGCACCTAGCTACATGTTTCTGACCTCTTTTGGGCAAATGGTACTTTGGTTTCCGTCCTTTTATTGATTAAGAGCCAAACTAACAAGCCTCAATCTCGTATTGATATTTTCATTTGGCTTAACAGTACTTTCTGAGGTACCTCCATATAAGCAGAATCACCACCTAGGAGGTGGTGCGAGCAAAAACAGCGAGCAGAGTCAACAGAGCAAAGTGTGAGACAGACATGAGGTACCATGTAGGCGGTGGTAGGCCGCTATACCGAAGGAATCCCAGCGTCTGTCATGGGGTCATCCTCTGCCGAAACGTTTTTAGACACGAAAGGTGAAAGAGAGATGGCCTCTTGCATAATGTATGTCAAAAGATCAACTACTTTGTCGTACTTTCTTCCAAAGGTTCGGTGAGAGACTGTTGTCCACTATTCATAAATCAGACATTTGCTCCTGTAGTAATTGGATAATTGACCATACCTCGCTATTATTGTTTACCTGGAAAAAGCGAAATTCTTCTCCGTCACTAGCCACGCCGTAAACAACTCTATTGAACTTTCTCAGGGCTTTCCGCTCTTGGTGAACGATACCTAGAAGAAAAGGGTCCGATTAGAAAAGTACTGTTAGATATAGTCTATTAAGACATACCCATGTATCCCAGTAGTTGAGCTTCTCCAGCGCTAACCATACCCTCCTTCTTGGCTTCAACAATAACCAGGTTGATAGCCTTTTCTGACATCGTACGGGTTTCACCATACCATAGGGTGTAATCTGCACGTCCGCTGGTTTTGTACTGTCGTGCGGTGTACTGGATGGGCCGAGAGGTCATGTATGTTTCGTGTTCCAAATTCAAGGGCCATTGCCTATGACTGCTAGATGCAGAGACCTGATCTAGCACTGAGTACAGTAGAATATCAATGACACATCGTGCTGCTGATTCTTTGTGAGCGCTGCGCCGTTTGCCTCTTTGAAATATCTCCAGCATTTCGACTACCAGATGTCAGCATATGGTCAAAATGGAAACAAGGCAATGTGTAGGAAAGAGTAGGCCATTGGGATATATCCTGGCCGGAAGTACTACCAAGGGATGGGACTTACTAGCACATTGTGGGAGAGGGCCTGCTGGCGGGGGGTGCATCCACGAGGCCTCATCCGTTGGATTGGGAGTTAGGCAAAATGCGATTTGAACCTCCTCGCGAGTCATTTTACCAATGGGAACCTTTGGCAAGGGAAGTGAAAGTTGGCCATGCTGTTGTTCTGCCTTTGCTAGAAGTGACCAGAACTCATGCTTTTCACCCTGTCTCAAGCATTCTTTAGCATCCCGATATACCTGTTTCAAGAGCAGGACAGGATCCTGTAGCAAGTCCGAAGATGAATATGCGAGGACCGTAGATTTGGCTGTTGGGGAGGAACCTGAAGAGGAACTGGGTGATGCTGAAGACGAATGTGATACAGGCGCCGAGGATGGGGATTTCCGCAAAGAAGATGAAGTTTTTCGAGGCATGATTGCGGGCTCAAATGTTTGTTATGGGTTGGTAGACGAAGAGGAGAGGAACGAAAGGGAAAGAATCGAAGGAAGCAGCGGGTGACCTGCGACCCCAAACCTTACGCCGCCTCATCGATACCCTGGCTTCTCTTTCTTCTATCTACGCTCGCCGAAACCTTAGAATTACCTCACATGTGGAGTTCATTTACGAATGGTATTGAGATATTCCTATACGTAATGTACTTCCCTTAGCCAACAGTACTTTTCGCATGCTACATGGATGCATGCAGAATTGTGAGAGATAAGTATGCAATGAGCGTATGTCTCAGTAACTGTAGAATCTTCAACCTTTAATTACATCGAATGCTTGTTTGGACTAGATGATCACCTTGAGTTTCGGAACCCCTTTTACCGGAAACGGTGTCGGAAGTAGGATGGAACTATCACTATTATGAGCATGGCCCAGGAATGGAGTGATATCTAGGCGCCTCGCTTTAGAGAAGTTCATTTGTCAAGGGTTAGTTTATGAACAAGAATACTACTCCATTCTTTCTCCTCCAGTATCGTTCAACTTGCATAACCAATTGTTACTCTTTATAATTCATGTAAATATGAGGGATAATCGCCATCAAATACCATTGAAATTGAATTTGCTATGCACCTGAGCTATCATTAGTTGAGTTGTCCTCCATCCTTTTCTGTACCGACTGGACAGAATCCGCGAGAAAGAGAAAAGGAAAAAGATGCGCAGTTATGTAACGATGGGGTCCAAAATGGACTCCCCGGGCAATGCATCCATCTTTCTTCTCGAAACCTCCTCATCCATCAGGTCGTCAATGAGTTTTCCCAGCTTGTTCAAGTGTTGATCGGAGATTTGAGAATATGGGATATGTATGGACCCGCTGAGGTGTAAACCCCGAGAACCACGCAGCTTATTGTACAATAGCCGCAAAGCAACCTCAAAGTACAGAGGATGCTGCGGGTCCCTCAAATCCTCAGGGCCCCAGACTTTGCCTGACGGCAAAGTCAGCAGGGCCATCTCGTAGCGAGTCTGGTCGTCGGGCTGAGTTGCATCGGCAAAGTACTTCCACTTCATCCGCCGATCAAACTCCTCGGAATCGACCCGCTTGTTGGTGCTTGCATTCAAGCCACGAAGGTCTGCTGAGAGGTCCGCGTCATCGTCACCCTCACCGTCGTCACCGTCACCGTCGCCATTGTCATCGTCTTCCTCTCCGCCCCAGTCTGCCTCGTCATTCTGCGACTCAATATCGTCGCCTTCGACGTCCACTAATTGGCTTCTATCACTCTGAGTGCCTTCGGCCGATGGGTTTGGGGAGGGAAATGCAACTTCTTTGGGCTTTCCTGCCTTGTCATACTCAATGTCACTGTAGTACGACGGCGGCTTTCGCGTTCGATCCGCCCGCGGAAGCGGCATGCTGGATGTTTCAGGAGTGGCCTCCAAGTCCACAACTTCAGCGACTCGAAAAGTGCTTTTGTCCACTGATTTTTTCTTTCGCTGTTTACTTGTCATGTCGAGGAAGGCTGTGAGTTCATCTTCGTATTTTTTGTCCAATGCAGCTTTCTTCTCGAGGAGCTGTTTGGCTTTTTCCTCGCCATAAAACGAGTCCACTTCAGCTTGAAGCTGTTGAAGCAGCTTCAACAACAAAGACTCAATCGCGGGCTCTCGGGCATTTACTGCTAGCTGGAAACTAGCCTTTTCGGCCTGTTTCGAGCTACGGAACTGATCATGAGACTCGGGGACTTCAATTCGGATGACGGTCAAATCGTACAACGAGTTGATCTAAATCCAGATGTTAGTACGGGGGTGCTTTAAAAAAAGTACTTTTGATGAGAGAACATACTCGTAGGCAACGCCCAAACGCCTGAGCCTCCTGGCTCCAACTTCGTCCTGGAGCCGAAAGAATAACGAGGTCACATGCCTAGTGCAAATTCAGTCCCACTGAGCCGATGTCGTAAGTAATGATCATAACCTATAGGCTGCTTTTTGGGTCATTGAAGTTGTCAACGAGTTTCTTCCGCTCCTGTTCGTTTAACTTGGCATGCATGGCACGAGTGCCAATCAATGCAGCGTTCAGAACCACCTCGAGATACCACGCATTGAGAGGGCAGCATTCAACAATGAGAGCCTTTTGATGGTGACCATATTGAGCTGGATCCGCAGCTTCCAATACCCCGTGGCGTTGGATTAGATGGAAGATTGCTCGCAAACGGGGAGATCCCTCGGTCAGGTAACGTATGAGTTTCATGGCGCTTTGCACCGGCCACAAAAGCTCACCTTTTTGTCGAACAAGACGGTGGATCCACTCTGCAGTCAAACCTTGGGCTCGCCACTTGTTCAGTTGGGCCACGTCGGTTTTCTCTCCAGTGGTCCTGTACCGCATGTCTAAGCGTGCAAGCTTCGTAGAGCAATTCAAGACACTTAATGACCGAAGAGGTCTCACACCTGAGGTGTTGAATTTAACGGCCTGTCCTGCAACCTCAGGGGCGTCGGTATTGTAAGTTGATCTCCTAGTCTCCAGCAAGTACTTTCTAATATCCGTGTCAGTTATCACTTCCCAACAATGTTTCAGGGGGTGCATATAAACTTACTCGGCGTGCAACTTGTGTTGAACCTGATACTCAAGTTTTTCCACGTTTTGGAAGACTGGTAACACAGTCTTACAGGAGGTTTTCTTGAAGTTATCACGAATTGTGACCGAGGTCCCATCAGACAAAGGTAATTCAGATGCTTGTGAGCGTTGTATGGCGATCATGTTGAGCACTAAGTTGAAGTATTCTGATACCGCTGCATGTCTTTCGGACCTTCGTGTTCGCACAACTCGACGTAGAATTCTCGGATCAAGAATTGCGAGTCTTGAGGAAGAGTACTGGTCCAATTGAGCATATCGGGATTTGATCTGCGCTAGTTGGCCCAAATGCAACTTCTTAACCTCCGCTTTTGAGGCGGGGGTTAGCTCTTTGCGTGCCTTAGCCCCAAGAAGCTCCACGAGTCCAACCAAATCCTGCTGCTGTCAGTATCACTTATGTTTAGAAAGTACCGTTAGTGGGGGTACAGGGCATCACAACTCACCCGAATGGCATTAAACATGGGCGTCGCAGTGGCGAGAATTATTGCTTGGAATTCTTGAAGCTTCAACAAAGCCCAGATGACAGTGCGCTTGTTTTTAATTTTGTGAGCTTCGTCTGCAATTAGCAGGCCGAAAATCCCAGCATGCTTGGTAAATATTTTCTCAAGTCGCTGCACGGTACCGGCGGTTTCCCTAGCAATTTCACGTTGCTGCATCAAGGTTCGAGATTTATGTGTTTCAAAAGAAGTAACAATGATAGACCTTTTTGCTTCTGTGTTCGAGTCCTGCTGATCTAGCAAAAATGCTAGGTTGTCTGGAAATTCCAAGCTCGTCATTTCATCCCGCGTGAGATGGTCGATGGTCGACTGGAATGACCCGGAGTAAGAAATTACTGCCCGGAGGCCAACCCAGTGATCCTCTATTTCTGTCACCCACTGGCTCACTAGAGAGGCGGGGACAAGGAGAAGAGTGGGCTTGTTTTCTTTGGTCAACAAAGAGTACAAAAGCTTTGCGAGCAAACATTGCTTTGTTTTTCCGAAACCTGTTCCATCAGCGAGCATAGCACCATGAATCTGAATGTCTCGAAGCTTGTTGGCGGCCGAAAGAACCTTCTGCGCTCGTGGGTCGCTAGCATTGAGGGCGGTGGATTGGCAAAGTCGCTCAGCATCAATCGTGCCAAATATCTTGAGAATGATACCAACAGCACCAGTAATCTGATAGTGGAAAAAATGCGAGTCCGTCAATTTCTCCAGCAAGGTAGAAATGTACTTATCCCCCTTCTTTTCGCAGAGGAGGAGGTCAAGACAAACATCGAGACAAGGGCCCGCTCGGCTATCCGAGCCAGAAAATGCTGCATGCAACGTGTAATACTCGCTATCGCCCTGGAACAGGAGTTAGTTCAGAATGTACTATTTGAGAATGGGAGGGTGTATATCTTACCTTGTGTTGGAGCTCGGCTTGACCGGTAGGTTGAGCTTGTTGCTCTGCGTCCCCAAGGGCTCGCTGTTCCACATCCGATGCCCCGATATCTTCGGGGAGTGCATTGAGGGTAACAGGCAGACCTCTGTTCCCGCCTAGGATCAGATCGATAAGTTTGTTTTGCCAAGCAATGCGACCATGTGGGCCATCTGCATTGCGATCTTGCACACTGTAACCGTCGTAGAACTTCTGCTGGTCTTCTTTATTGTCAAACTGCTTGGGCTTTGCATAGTCCGCTGGATCAGTTTCCCGATCGTTCTGAAATAAGATAGACTGTTCCAGAGCCGAAGACTTGACTGGCACGACAGTACTTCCTGGAGGAGCCGAAACACTTGGCGAAATAGTTGAGCTTCCACCTAATGCAGGTCCCTCATTAGGTGTAGCTAGATCGCCATCACAAGTATTTGACACAAACAGAGAAACACATTCTTGAATGTCGGCAGGTGCGTGTGTGTCCTCAAAAAAGTACACCAGAGGGTCCCCAGTATTGAACGGTTCCAGTGTTACCGACAGCGTAAGGTTTTGGTGTGCTGGGTTGGAGAAATCAGCTCTCAACTCGTCCCACGAGCCACTAAATGCGTCTTGGTCATATTGGATATTCTCCGCGGTATTGCGAAACTTCAGTCTCAAATTCTGGATATTCAGCCCCAGATCTCTGCAGCCCAGAAAACGTCTGAGCTTATCTCTGAACTGGTAGCTGTCAGGACAAAGCCGTGGGTCCCATGGTAAGATTTGTCTCGTTACAGGAATTCGCATCCCCTCCGATACTGCTTTTTGAATCGCTCTCTCGGTTTCCTCGTGCCGTGGAGCCTCAGGGCCCCGAACCCACTGCAGTGTGACACTGATGGGTGGGAGCTTATCCGTCTCAAACACCACACCAAAAGTATCAAGGCTGGAATGTACTTTCTCGCTAGGAGTTTGCATCCATGAAGGAAAGTTTGATTGGTTCACTGTCGTCCCATTGTTGATTGCGCTGGGACTAGCAAAGCGCTTTTTCCACGTGGACTTAAAAAGCCCAGAAGCGAGATATCGCTGCACTTCCCAGCAGCGATTGAAAACCTCCAATTCGGTCTCTGGTGTATCCTTGATTGGACCGAAATTGGGAGATGGGAATCCCATTGTCTCACTCGGGAAAGTGAGGTTCAGCTTCGCGAATTCTGCTTCATGCCGTTTCAGAAAGTTTTTCTGCTCCGATCTGGTTCGTTTTTCATTTTCCTCCGGGGTGCTTGAGTTGTAGAGTTCCACGTCGGATGCCATCTTGTACAGACACCAGGCCACGATCCAGGCCTTCTGAGACCTCTTTCGGCTGTCATCGTCTGTTTCATTGTGCGACCACACGGTTTCTGGTGCCGTAGTAACATCTGCAAATTTGTTCTTGTTCACGGGTTTGGACAGGAGCTGAAACGGCACATTCTTCCTCAATCCTTTAGCCGGCTCCCGAAAGTACCTTTCGGCAGCAAGGCAGACCCATGAAATTGCGAACTTTCTTAAATCAGAGGTGTTTGTAAAGCCAAGATAAGCGGCCAACATGGCCTCCTGGCCATCGGCTTTTAGCCAATTTCCTCCCTTTCCGCCAAGATTCACTGGTCCAAACGTGGTTTCCTTAGTTTGACGTGCAGCTTTGGGGTTCTTGCTGCCAAGCGAAGCTGTATCTGTGTCTGCAGTGGCGATACTTTCAACGTCCGATGTATCGTCTCGGGCCTGTATTCGAACATAAGCTTAGTCCAAGATCCATTTTTGAGCTTAGGGTTCCTGTACTCACCGTCCTTTTGCTTGGCCCAGGAGACCCTGGCGTCGGCGAAATTGCAGGGCGCTTCCCTTTTGCCTTTTCAGAAGACATGATAAGAGTTTATCTGCTGACTGTCAGTAACTTCGTGGCTAGTTGTTCTATGATAATGAGATCAGAAGGTTCTGTCTCTAGGAGACACATGAAGAGTGCAAAGTACTGTTTGGGAACGAGCTTACCGACAATGTCACCAGAGTGCCCTTGGGAGAGCAGGCCAACGCGTGTTCCGCAAGGAAAGCACTGGATCTGTGCTATGAAGCAAATCAGAATGATGACACTCAAATGAGGATAAATGGAAGTGCGTGGAGATACAAGCAAGGCAACTGAGGTGTGAGAAAGGTTGGATGGGGATTCGACTAGCGTCAAATAAAGTGGGAGACATGAAGTGAGTGAGTGCAAAGTACTGTTTGGGAACGAGCTTACCAACAATGTCACCAGAGTGCCCTCGGGAGAGCAGGCCAACGTGTGTTCCGCTAGGAAAGCACTGGATCTGTGTCGTGGAGCAGATCAGAGTTATGATGCTTCAAGTGAGGATGAATGGAAGTACGTGGATATGCAAAGATGCGAGTAAAGCAAAAAAAAAGTATCTGAGGTGTTAGAAAGGTTGGATGGGGAGTCGACCAATGTTAAAGGAGGAGTTGATCTTAGTGCAGACCTGGGGGTCTTCTCTTAGGACAAGACAGGAAATCAGGTTACGTGTAAGTGGGTGGTGTAAGGTTGGATTCAGTGCAAACGTATACACACTTTTAAATACATACTTCTCAATCAATCAATTACAAGCCAATTGCCCAGTTGCTGCCTCACTATTCTAATGGCTAATTAGGCGCTTTATTTCATTGAAGCAAGGACTCAAAATAACAAATACAGAAGAACTGAAAGGGCATAACTAGTCTATTAACGGTACCAGACTCTATTGTTAAGCCCAATGAAAATATCAACACGAGATTGAGGCTTGTTAGTTTGGCTCTTAATCAATACGTGCATGCACATATATGTAGTGTGCTTGTCTTTTCTCCGGTCGATCCATAAATCTTCAAATAGCTTCATACTCCCCCCTTCCTCTTAAAATTATAGCAGTAAGAGTGAAACCAGGATGATTCATTAAAGTGTTTGAAGATCTGCCGTGATTGACCCTGAGTACACCAAGGAGTTCAATCACACTCGTAATATAAAACCAACTAAGTAGTTTCACTTCCTATGATGAAGAGAGCCATATATACTGCTTTGGCAGTAGATTTTGTAGTACTAGACTACTGCTTAGATTTCTATGATACTGGATCACCTCCAAAGAAGACAATGACCGGTTAAACTGAGCCAATTGACGAAGGTGCCTGTGTAGGCATAAGTCTAGTCCAATCTTCTTGGCCTAGCTGCAGAAGTACTTTTTGGATTGGCGTAGAGCCTTATATGTTGAAAAGTACTTTTAAAGTTCCTGCTAGGGCCTTTTCGGTTAAAAGGTGCTATTGAAGTGGTAGCTAGATTGTGTTGGAGTTTGCCATTCGACCAAAAAGCCTACAATTTCATAGTGGTCGATGATCTCTCTACAAGGGTAATATTCAGCCAAATTTATGGAAACACGAGCATAATGCGTCAAAACGGTGCCTCTTGATGTATGGATATAAAGATCGGAGTCATCATAATAATATACAAGTCCAAAACGCCAACAGGCCAGAAAAGCTCGTCAATCCCACCAGAACAATCCAAACAGGGAGACAGAAGAAAGCCCAAGCCGTGGACTTTACTTCTTCAGTCCCAAGCCTTCTGCCATAGCCTTGACAGTGGCACTCGCAATCAGTGCAGATGGTCCACGTCGAGCCCAACAGTGTTGTCGGGGTCCCGTTAAGGATTCCATTCGTTGCTATTTACGACCGACTCCCAGGTCTAGGGGAACATGATATCCTTATCAACGCCAATGATTTTCTTGAAATCACCGAGAAGGTATTCTGATATATTCTGGTTTGCTATCGGCCTTACTACCCATCTTCCCCAGATGCTTCATCGAATTTCTGTGTATTGTTAACTGAGATAGTTCAACATATAAAAAGAGGCATATGAATCAATAGGCAAGGTGGTACCTATGGTTTTCAGACCGGTTCTTACGACCCTGAGGCTAAAGGCCACTCTCGTGAACCTTTTTTTTTTTTTTGTGTCAATCGAGCCGTAAGTATTCTCAACATTGATGCCTTACGTTTGTAGGTATATATGATATTGCCAACTTATTTTGTAGCCGTAAAGATGACGTTATAAGTGTTCGATCTTGAAGTGGCCATTTACCCCATCAACATTCCCTGAATTCCTTTCTCGTGAGCTTCCGGAATGGGCATGGTTGAGGAACTTTCGAACTTCTTAAGGATATGATAAGGAAGAGGCAACTGCCATGTCGAAGTAAATTGATTTATCAGAAACTACTTGTAAGTAATGGCGGCATAAACTAACTAAGCTGAACCAATCTTCCTTTAACAAACTACCCCTGGGTTTCCTTTTCCTATCTTCCGCTGGTTTCACCTGGTTTGCAGACAGATATCACCCGTGTTGATGACAGCGCACCCCGCGAAGCCCCAGACTTTCCTATTTAAGTGGGCTGCCTACCTAGGTACCCGTGGACAAATTGAGACCTCACACACGCGATGGACTCCGTATGAGTAGATCAGCTCCGGAGTATTGTGGAGACATGTTGATCGATTCCACTCCAGTCCGGTTGTTTGGTAAAAGTTGGGTAAAAGTTGGGTCTAAAACGTTTGTGTGGGCTTGATAGGTTGGAGCTGGAGAGGTTGAGAATCATATGTTAGTGTTCCACGGTTAACACCCAGGACTTTAGGATCCATAATAGTCGCGTTGTCACCTCCACACCCTCCTTTTCCCTCTGCTCAGCACCTGACTTTTACAATTCACCTGTCTATCAACTTCATCAAAGCGGATTCATTTCTTCAGAATCTTGAAGCTGCCCAACCCTTCATCTCCTTTCCTAATCATGATGCCCCGGTTTCTTGACTTTGACCACCTGTGTGGTACTGAAATTACACTCGACCAGCCTTCCCTTTCGCCCCCTCGCACGTTCGTCCTCGACGAAAAGATATCCGAAGACTACCAAACGATGACTCAGCGGATATATGATCAAGGGTTGGGGCCTCCGTTTGCCGTCATTAAGTTTTCTTGTCACAACCTTCTGGACCCTGGTCAGCAGGGCTTCATGCGTATCTACTTGCAGATACCTATTGATGGTACCTTTTCTAGCGCTCCAGAAGTCCGAGCCCAGCAGGCCATCAGCCAGCGCACCCACACGGAGCTCAAAGCGCTTGCGACTCTAGATCGCGAAAACTGTACGGCAGTACCGAAATTGCTTGGCTATGGAGAAGGGTTGCAAGGCACTGAAGAATTCGTGCCTGGTGGCTACATCAACTACGTTGCGTGGACACGGGTACCTGGTGAACCCGTAGACTACTATTCTTTCTGGAAACGCGACTTTGAATACCGCCGGCAACTGCGCTCCGCCTTTCGTACCGCCTATGAGTAAGATCATAACCCCTATACGTCCACCCCTTAAAGAACTACCTATACTAATACAACGAAGAGAACTCAGTAGGTGTTCTTGGCAACCTAGACTTACCCCTCCGAGCAAGCTCATCTACGATGATGTCACCAAGGCTATGTAGGTAGTTCTGGCATTTCATTCGCCTGACCAATCTATGAATGCCGATGGCGATGAGCTAATTGCTTTTAGGCACATTTCCGGATTCCGAGGAGCCTATCCAATGGACACTGAGCCATTCTCAGACGAGACCTACGCGTTATGGGGATTGGCAAAGCCATCTGACAGGCTGGATTGGTATCTTGATAGCTCTGACTGGACCTGGTAACCAATGTGGATCTCCGTACATCTCTGAGCGATGCTTTTGACAGTGGAAATGGCCTTTGGCATATGGGATTGTATTTTTGAGTTGTTCATGATGCCTAGCTACCCCAGTATGCATGTATTTGTCACTGGACTAGTGCTTTTAATGAGACGATTGTAGTACCTTACCGCTACTGGTAACCCTTTATACTGTTGATCAACGTAAAACACCTTCAGATTATTCAGCATAAAGCTATTCACCGGACTACTTGGTCATTCAGGTCCGAATACAGATATCAGATGAGCAAGAAGGTTTATCAGGGTATAGCAACAACCCAGGGCACAGTCTGGTTGTTAACAGGATTGGCAACACTTGCTAGAGTGCAGACGTAAAACATACATTGCTTCATTGATACCTGGGGAAGGGTGAGGTGAGTCGATTGGGGGTTAGGGACTGTTGGTGTATAGTAGGAGGAGGAGGATATGGGAGGGGAATACCACACTTCCCAAGCCCCGCTAGGGGACTGAAATTGTCGTAGGAAGATGGTGTGGTTGTAAGTGCTGATGAAGCCATATTCACAGCCTAGGCTCTGCATATCCCGAACTGGTTGGGCAATCTTTTGTCGCAGGTCACATAAACGGCGAACGGAGGAGTGGAGGTCATGTTTGATGACACAAGGCGTCTTTAATTCCCCAACCAGCTTGATATTGGTATTTCCACCCACATCTTGCAAACCGACAACGTCGGGGATGTTTTCGTAATTACTTCCAGAGCTTTTGAAGTCGGCGAAGTAGAGGTTGATTGACTTAGCCTCAAGGACCGCCCCAAATGCTTGGCCAATGGCTTGTTGGAAACGGCCCTGAAGGCCATGCTCATCCCCGATATGTACACGATCGGCCTCGGTAGTATGTGGGCCATTGGCATAAAGTGATGTCCTTGACCTTGCCCAGTTTTGGTTTGTGTGCACGCTCTCAACAGATCGTAGGAAATTGCTCCATGGGATAAGGGTCCCCTCAAAGGACAGACTCTGGAGTGCGCTTGAAACCGTGTGATAGGGCCCGATTTGGAGGGATGGAAGCGGACTTTCTACAATCTGCTTTGCTCGGATTGTGGATGTCATTGTGGTAACTTGGGATCTAATAAGTATTTCGTTAGTATAATTTTCTGAATGATATACGTATCGATGTTTATAACAAAATGTGTCTTACTGTATAGCTCTGATGTTAGGATTCTCAGTTCGTGGGTTGAATAGGAGGACGCATGCGAGGGCTGAACGCAACAGCAAAGCGCCAATTAGCCAAATCAGGCTTGGTGTATGAAATTTCGGACGCTGTCTTTGACTATGAGGGGAATGTGGTTGGTGCTCGAAGGGAAAGGAAAGATTAGAAGGCTGCTGAGTCGCTTGTCATATGAAATTTAGCTATTGATACAGCTGAGACAAGTTGACACTGAGTTAAATAAAGTGGTGGCCTCACAAGAACATGATCTCTTCATAACATTGTTTCTCAACCGCGGGCGAAGACCCTCACCTTGGCCACTCTCATTCAGTTTATTTTGCCTTTCTGCCATTCTTCTTGTTCGACCTTCAGCTCCTCGTCCACCTTCGTCCATCATCCTGTCACCCATTCCCACACCCATCATCTCACGTACCCAGAAGTCAAGTATGTCTTCAGGATAGTAGTACGATATCACACCCGTCCATCACTTCTTTATCTGAAGCAAATACTGACAATCCTAACAGCTACGACCCGGGTCCTGGCTATCAGTGGGTTGCTCCCCCGGCATCTCACCCTGAAACAGTCCTCGGTGCCAATGAATGCCCTCCAGGTCCGTGGGCTGTGCACATCAAGAAGGCTCCATAAGCCAGGGCTAGAGAAGGCCGCTGGCTCAAGACCGAGTTTCTACGCGTGCTAGACATCAAAACACGGCTCCGCGAACCGATACTTCGTCCAACGCACATCCGATCATTCTACTGGATAGCACTCCGAATGCATGAGATGATCGGGAACAATGTCTCGAACGTTGAATCTACAATGATTCAGGTTGTGGGTCGCGTGCAGGAGACCGGTGCAGGAGACCGAGTGCAGGTCTTGTCTGCAGGACCATGGTCCCTGGGCCCAATGTGTTGTGCTCGACGGACCCTTTGGTCGTCTCTGGCTGCGCAAATTATCATTGGAGTGGGAACGACGGCCGTTGCACCTAGTTTGGGAGTGGATCATCTGGACAGACCCCGGAGGGATACCGTCCCCTCCCTCCTCCTGGTCCCCAGCAGCACCCTCCCCGCTGCCGGTCCCGAGCAACCTTCATCCGACTGATAAGGTAAGGATGACTCATTACTACAAACCCTATCCAATACTTACTAAGACTATATAGTTTCGGACCCCAAAGATGTCAGCACTTTCTGTTCACTTCAATACCATTTCGGAAACGCCCATGTTGACCACTATGTCGCGGCATTCAGATATGTCCGATGACGCGGACTCCCCCGACGTCAAGTGCTTCCAAGAACTACCCGATGACACATATGAAGCCATCGGGTCGGAGGCCCGCGCTATCCGGAAGATCATAAGAGAGCAGCAGAACCTTCCCATCAAGGTGATGAAATACCCGTGTTTCATAAACGTCCCACCAAATATTGTGGAAGAGGTTTCTTTGAGCTCCGCTCGACATATGTTCAGTTACGACACTCGATCTATGATCATAAAGCTCGTGACTGGGGCCCATGACGCAGCTTCACGCGGCCTCCTTTGTGAAGTGCGAGATGTGGTACACGATATGGGACTGCATAGGTCGATTCACCCGGTAGGGTCTAAACGAGTCCGAGGAGTGTCTTCTTCAAAGGAGGCCGACGAGTCGTGGGTCCCTACGCAACATGTTCCAGGTCGCGATGCAAAATGGCCGACCGTTGTGGTCGAAGTTGGAGTCTCTGAGTCCTATCGAAAGTTGAAGGCAGATGCAGAATGGTGGCTCACGAACTCCAAGGGCGATGTGAATCTTGTAATCATCGTGTCTATCAATCGAACGACACCCAATATCAAGTTTGAGGCTGTTTCTTTGGACATCAGCTCCTTACGACACCAGCGGCCCCGCTACGTCCCAACTATACGGCAGTCCATTACGACATCCCGCCGCGGCGCACAGACTACCACCAGCCCAGCAGTAGCCTTGACAATCGAGTTTGAGGAATTGTGTTGTTGCCAACCAGTCCCGCGCGAGCATGACATTGAAATCTCACCAGATCAGTTGGCAGATATCTCAAGCGAGGTCTGGATGGAGCAAAGTCTATAAGTCATTCTTACCTCTGTTAGCTCTGTTAGCTTTTTCAAACAATGACACAATACACAATCCTTTCTACAATAATCGTCCCAAGTGCCCAACACACATACCTGGTGTTGGTGCGCCCCACCAAACATTAAGGGGAAGAACCCCTCCGACAGGGGCGGTGTAATCACCAGCACCCCGCAAACTGCATCACTTCGTCGTGAGCCAGGCGTGCGCCCTTTGAAGGATGGGGAAGATTTCTTTACACTATTGGCACTAAGACCGCCAATATTGAAGCTCTACTGGTGCAGTCGGTTGGGGAAAAAATCGATGTTGAAGAAGAATGCGATTCCTGCTAACAAGCCTAAGGGCCATTTTCTTCCTGTGTTATTGCGGCTGAACTCTGACACCTCCTGCTAACATGCGCAAACTGCCATTGGGGATTGAAGGGAACGCGGTGCAGCTTCATAGCAAAGCCCCCTGCTGCTCATACAGCAATCCACCAAACCGACAAGCCCGAGACACTGGCGAAAGAGATCCTGGTTTGGGACTAAGTGATGGCGGCGCTCCACGAACATCATCGGCGAATTAAAGAACTTCTGGCCATAAAGGCTACTATCTTGGCTGATAAGCGACAAGAGTATATTCTGCCTGCTGCCAATCCTCCTAGTTAGTCAGTGTACCCCCAGTGTACCCAAGGTTGGCCTACGGTCGAGTTTTGGTAGCCACCCAGCCCAGCCCTCAGCAGACACCATTACCTAGGATCGTGATCGACCCACCCGGCTAAGACCATCAAAATTGAACATATGCTGTCATAGGGAGCCGGACGGGGATAGGGGACATGGCATAGGAGCTGGGAATACCGGAAGACGTGGAGATATGCAGAATTGTGTATACGGATGTGTATAAAAAGGGGCATACGAATTACCAGCCAAGGTGCTAGAGCGAAAACAATAAAATAAGATCGACTTTTTTTTTGGGGGGGAGAAATGCAAGTCTCATCTTTTTGTAAAAGCAAAAACTAGGCCTTGCCAACTCCCATGGGACTAAAAAAATTCCGGTCCCATAACCCTGTCAGTCCTATAGGACTCCCGTGGGACTTATAGGACTAGACTGCGACATCGCCCATAGACGGGCGGGTAGGCATTACCCATAGGCCTTATGTAAGCGGGCGATAGGCACCATGGATACGCCTATGGACAGGCCCTACCCTTAGGGCCTATTATCCATAGATACCGTAGGCGCCTATAGGCCTCTTTAGTAAGCAGAATTTCTTAACCTCGTGACCTATATTATTTATACTTTTTTTTCTCTATATTTTTAAGTAATTCGATTATATATATAATAACTTAATACTACTACCAATTTTCTGACCTTAGTCAGAAAAATAAGCTATAGAAGCCTTTATATAATAACTTAATACTATAGTTAATTTTCTAACTAAGATCAGAAATAAGCTTTAGAAACCTTTATATAATAACTTAGGTATTTATTATATTTATATATTTATACTAATATAATATAAATTAATTATTATTAGGTTTACTATACTTCCTTATTTCTCTTAAACTAAAGCGCCTTTAAGTACTACCCTTATCTCTATAATAAGGGAGATAAGGACTACTCTTATCTTTACTATTAACTAGCTTACTTCTCTATTACTTCTATATATTTTAGACCTTGACAAGTCCCGCAGTACCTGGCCAATTTTAGTGCTGCGATATAGTGCTATGAGGTACTACGGGACTAAGCTAATTTTGGTGCTATTGTATGGTACTGCGGCACTAGGTACTATAGTACTATCGTAGTACTAGTTTTAGTACTATACTAGTATAATTCTGCTAAGGATTACCTAAAATAGATAGATAAAAT